TATATATATTGGACTATATCCACCTGGCAGGATCTAGACTAGCTTTTTAGAAACTCTCTAAAAGAACTTTCTGCTTGTTTAAACATGTTTAAACTGTGTATGTTAACCTTCCAAATAGAGGTGTCCATGGGCATTTTAAACCTATATAAAATAAACCATTTAACTCAGTAGGCTAAAGAAGCAATTAAAACAATTAAACAGCAACCGGGTAGCAGAAATTAGGATGATTCAAATGATTCAAATATTAGAGCTGCAAAAATCTGTTGACTTCTAGATGGTAGGAAAATAAGTTTTATGTACCTCTCTGTTACCATCTTATGATTGTCTGGATTTTTATAGCTCAAATGTGGTCATTCCAATTAAAAAGAATGATTAAAACAGGGAAAATTCTGGGAGTTGAATCCATTGGTCTTATAATTGCCAAGGTTGGACTCCCTTGCATTAGGACAAACTAAGATTTAACAGTAGAAGTCTTAATAGTATAGAATTGTTTTTTTCTTGCACCAAAAAGACAATAGAACTCCCTGGGGGAGATGCTTTATCACTATACATTCCCATGGAAGGATACCAAGCATCTCTTAGGACTCAGAGAGAAATACACAAGAAAAGGTGCTCCTTTAGATATGTCAAATGTAGTGTTGTGGTTCGCCGGCAGCAGGTACGGATGGCAGAGGTCTCTGACAGCGAGGACGAAAGGGAACCCATCAGGGAGTCTGGTGAGGACTTGGACGAGGGTCCTGTGTCTGATGGAGGGATGGGGCCAGGACTATCAGAGAGTGGAGTGCTGCCTTCGGAGCTTTTGGAGTCTGACAGCAGTGAAGCAGAGGACCCCGGGAAGCCTGTGCCCAGTGCGCGTGTGCACAAGGCTGCTCGAAGAAGAGACTCGGGAGTAAGCCTGGAAGGTGATGGCCCCTCCCATAAGGGATAAAAACTAGCCCTCGGGGATGTGATCTTTGCAGGAAACAAAGAAGTTCTTTAGACTCTGAGTCCTTGTTGAAACCCTGCTAACTCCGGTTTGTTTTTGAAACTTCTGCTGGTGGATATTTATCAATAATTAGACTTCTGTTCTTGGCAGCCTTTTACATCCTTAAAAGGGCTTGCTTTTATCTCGGACAATTAGGTTTAAATGACTCTTGGCAGGGAATGCAAAGAATTCCCAGCGCCGCATTAAAAAAGGTTTGCTTTTATACACAGTTTGTGTTTGTTTAATTTGAACAAGGCTTGGGTCAGAACATGTAGCTTGGCTGTTAGTCACATCATTTTAGTAAGACTTAAGGTGCATCTAATTTGTGCCATTTAAGTATTCCATCAGTCATGAATGGAAGGATTCAGTGGCACACAAATGGGATCTCTGAAAAATATTTTGGAATACCATGGCCCTGTTATTCAATCATGCTTTTTTTGCTTTTGTAACTGCTTTATTAGTAATAGGTAACACTATCTTCATTCAGGGAAAAATGCATCTTCTGCAACGTTATATCATGAAATAAATGTATTTTCTTAAATCAAGCATTCTATCTCTGTATGTTATTTTATTTGGCTTCCTCTAGGTGAGCATTGCTTCCGATCCAGGACGCAGAGTTCAGCATAATACACTGAGCCCATTCCCAAGCCCATTTCAGAGTCCATTTCGCAGCCCCGTGCACAGCCCTTTCCGCAGTCCTTTCAAAAATTTTGGACCCCCTGGAGGAGGAAGGACCATTGACCTTGACTGTGATGATGATGAAATGAATTTGAGTTGTTTCATCCTAATGTTTGATCTCATCTTGAAGCAGGTAATAATACACATCCCAGTATTGTAAACATGGTCAATAATACAATCCAAATATCTTGTTTTGGAACATTTTAAATAATCTTTTAGTGTTTTATACAGGTGCCAATTTGCAAGCTAGGGATTATTTATATGCATCAGAAAAGATTCTATAATATACAAACTTTTTTGGGTCAAGAGTTCACTAGGCCTGAGGTCTCTTGGCCTTTTGGTAAACCCAATAAACTAAAACCATACCATTTCCAGCTGATAGGCATCATGGTGCAATAGCCCAGATATTTTAACAAATCAAAATATCACATATTCATTAGATCTGTGAGTATTTAATTTGATGGCTAGGTGGAGGATCTCTTGAGAGCTAAAGAAGTATCATTAATGACCTCTGATCTAATGTTGGAGGGATATTTATTTATTTATTTTTATTTTATTTATTTTATTTGTCAATTGCTTACAAGATACAGGTATAAGAATAAACATAGTTTTGAATACATGAGATGGATACTTATAAGAAAAATAAAAAGAAACAATAGGACAGGGACGGTAGGCATGATTGGTGCGCTTATGCACGCCCCCTACAGGCCTCTTAGGAAGGAGATGACGTCAATAGCAGACAGTCGAAGGTTAAAGTTTTGGGGGTTTGGGGAAGAAACCATAGAGGCAGTTAGGGTATTCCAAACATTGACCACTCTGTTGCTTAAGTTGTATTTCCTGCAATCAAGTTTGGTGCGGTTAACCTTGAGTTTGTATCTATTGTGTGCTCTTGTATTGTTATGATTGAAGCCGAAGTATTCATTTGCAGGTAGGACATTGCAATGTATGATTTTATATACTATATTTAGATCAGACCGAAGGTGGTGTAATTCTAGGTTTTTATTACTATTATGTAGCATAATTGATAAATATTGATTGAAAATTACTGATTTCACATAACATACTATCAGGAATTTGAATATGGGTCAAAGATCTATATTTAGTTTAGTTATTTATTAAATTTATATGGCGTTCATATCACAGTTTGAGGCTACTTTGTTGAGTTGAATCCTACATTCAGCTCAAAATTAAATAAAAACAATTAATCTTTGGAGATGCAGCATTCAGAATATAAATAGTCAATTGCTCAATTGACTTTTTCCCTATCAAAACTTCCTACACCTTCCTTCATGCATCTTTTAGAACTAAGGTCTCCAAACTTGGCAACTTTAAGACTTGTGAATTCTGGGAGTTGAAGTCCACAAAGCCTTACAGTTGCCAAGTTTGGGGACCTCTGTTTCAGAAGGACCGTGGATTAGTTCAAAGACATACTTCTAGTTAATGAAGCTTCAGCTGAATTACCCAAGTCAAAAACAGATTTACATATTGAAGGAGTCCTACTGTTAACACAGCAAATCAAATCAGGTGGCTAATCACCTCTATCCTTATTTCCTTCTGTACTGCCTGTGTATCTCTGGCAGTGCGAGTCTGATTTTGCTGCTCTGCTAACTAACTTAGGATGTTGCCAGTAAGGCACAGCCCTGATACGATTGGGGGCGTGCATAAGCGCACCAACGTGCCTACCGTCCCTGTCCTATTGTTTTTTTTATATATATATTTATTTTTCTTATATGTATCCATGTATTCATAACTATGTTTTTACTTATACCTATTATCTTGTAAGCAATTGAAATAAAAAATAAATAAATAAATAAATTAAATTCCATCCAGAAGAGGCCTTGCCTGCCCAGCCTGAAACCAAGGAAACCGAGGTTGGGGCTGAGTCTTCTCAGGAGGAATGAATCTTGCTAGCCTGATTGTAACTCTGCTAAAGGGGAGGCCCTTAAGGAAGGGGAAGCCAGTAGACATTAATGTCATGTTAAGAAAAGGAAGTGGGCAAACAAGAATTATAATTGTTTATATTTTACGTTTTTAAACTGGAATACAAACAATTCTTGTCTATCAGCTGCGTTAGACAGGAACTGTTCACATTTATAATAGTGATGAAAAAGTAACTTTGCAACCAATCGTGTATTTATGACCCTTATAGCATCTCTTTCTCTGTGTCCTGTGTTTACCAGTACAATTAATTAGTACATGTTGTCCTGGTTTGACCCATCACCACCCTAGAGTAGAGAGATTGTCTAAATAAGATTGTCTCTTCCTCAGCTGCTTTTCTCTCACTCCCTAAAAAGTGCTAAGGGCAAGTTACCATCTCAGCTCTGTATTCTTAATTAGTTGTTTAGAACCCAGTTGGCTGGCAGCTGCTGCCTGAAACTGACTAATCAGTTTTACATTAAAAGCAAACAGCTGGCACCCATGCGTTCCTTTTGAAGTGTTGTCCCCATTGTGTGCCTGGTTACTCTCTTTTTATCCCTTCCTCTTCAATGCATGCAAATACAAACATTCTCTTCTTGCTAATTATCCCAGTGCCAGGTGAGCATCCCAAAGGTAGGGTAGTAGGGTGAAAATGGGCTGTAAAATTTGCCCTTTTAGCCAGCTTCCTCATGAGATGAGTTTCAGAAATCCTGCCGTTTGGGTTCACCCAGCTTTTTGGAGTGGTATCCTTACGTTGCAAAGCAAAGCAACACTGAAGTAAAATCATAGTTGCAGTCACAGTTGATGGTTTGAATTGTGATTGATTAAACGAAAACTACCTGTTAGACATTTTTTGCACTGATTTGACCAGATCATTTGAGCTCTTTCCTGTACAATGTAGTAGCTGCTGTCCTTTCCCCATCTCTGCAAAAAATAAAAATAAAAATCCAGCTCCCGATAACTTAGCAAACACAACTATGTAGTTGCTATGGAACAATATATAGAAATGGGATATTTTTTCTAGTTTGCAACCCTGGAATTCCCTATCTATATATTAATAAAACCTGGCTCTATTTGGCATCCAGATCCAGACAAGGATAGTGCTAAGTGCTGCCAATTGCTGAGAATTCTACCATCCTTATTATTTTCATTTTCTTTCCACTCTAACAAAGCAAATTCAACTATTTTGATGTTTTCATGTGATCATGAATCCTATAAAAAGATTGAATCAAAAATGCCAAAGTAGTTTAATCAGTTTAAAATTTAATCTCAAACTGCAACTCAAATAGAATCATACCTTGAATTGAATCACAATGATTCCTATAGGCTTTATTTCTAATATGGAGAAGTAGTCAGTTTTATAATTCTTATCTGTATGTTGCATATTATGATTTGTCTGAACATATATGCTAATTTTTAGAGACGAGTATCATGGAATCTGTGCTGCATTCATATGCCAAAAATATTACATATACAATCTTCTTTTTAATCTGAATTCAAGTCAGATACATGGATGTCTGATTAATTTATTCAGCTAGTTAGAACAAGAATAAGAAGAACTGGAACAATAAGAGACAGTGTGATTTAGCTAGAGTCTTTTGTAGTGGGTGACTATAATAAATCTAATTAATGATAAGGATTGAGATGGATTGGGCCTGGGAAGCCTCATGTTCAAATTTCCATTCGACAATAGAACTGGATGATTTTGAAACAACTATTATGTTTCAGCACAACCTGTCTCACCAGGATTATGAGGATAAAAATCAGGCAAACTTCCCATGTGCAATATTGTGAACTCACAAAAGACAAGATATAGACAATACATAAATGTAATAGTAAGAACTTGATGACCTTTAACCACACTGTAATCACCATACAACTGGCTATTTATTTGTCAACATTCTTAAACACCCATCGCCTTCATAGAGGGGCTCAATGCAATGTGTCCTATATGGGGACACATTTGAAGGTGATTTCGAAGATACAGTTACTGCAGAATACAGAAGTCATATTCCTAACTGGAAAACCCATTGCTATGTCCATCTAACAGTCACTGCATAGGCTACTAACAGGTTTATGAGCTCAGTTGTAAGCACTATTTTTAACCTATCTAAAGCCTTATAAGGTATGGCACTGGATTATAACTACCTTACCAAATGTAACACTGCCCATCTGACCCAGTCACCAATTGAGATCTGTTTGAAGGTTCTATGCCCAGGGGAAGTAAGAGAAGTTAGACTGAAACCCATCTGCAGAACATAATATGGGATTGCAACCTTTAGTGCCCCACAAGCAGCTGTTGTGTGAATAGTTGTTTGACAGGAAGAAATTCAACTGAAACTAGTTTTCAAAGAGAAAGTTTCAAAGTTTTGTCTGCTTTTCAGCTATTCAACTACATGGAGCTTTTAAGAGCCGGGATGCTATTGTATGTTATTTAGTAGACTAATTTATTTACTTGGACTAGGGAAGGCTAGGGTGACCTAAATTTAAATACACACAGAGCCATGGAAAACGATTCAGTGGGTTTTTTTTTGTTGCGAATATGGTCTCCCTTTATGTAATCCAGTACACAAAGTTATAGTGGAATAAAACTGGAGGGAAATGTATTATGTATGCTTTCTTGAGCTCCCAGAAAAAAAAGATAGGATATAATTTGAATAATACATTAAAAGCATCTTTAAGAGAGTACACTTCTTTTTGCCAATGTTTGTATATCAATTACTTTGTCCATGCTTCCTCCCAAAATGTGTTTTTCAGATGGAATTACAAGATGATGGCATTACCTTGGGCTTGGAGAACAGCATTTCCAAAGACATAATTTCTATCATCAACAATGTATTCCAGGCCCCCTGGGGTGGCTCCCATATTTGTCAAAAAGATGAGAAGGCAGTAGAATGTAATTTATGCCAATCTAGTATCTTATGCTATCAGATGGCTTGTGAACTCTTGGAAAGATTAGCTCCCAAAGAAGAAATCAGGCTGGTGGTAAGCAAAGGGTCTGAAAAAGTGTCCAGAAAAAAGGTGTCCTATTGTATTTATATATCTAGATCATAACTGTGATATTTTGCTTTCTATGTTCCATTTGTTGAATATACAATATGCCGTTTGATTCGTGCAAAGATCTATATAGAAAACCAATGGTTGTATAAACTTTCAAGTTCTCAAGGCCCCACTCAACAATAACTAGAAAAGGGAGTTACTATGACTGTTCAGATGTTGCTACAGTTCCTACATTTAATTACTATTTTTTAGATTGGTAAGGTTGCTGGGAGATGTAGTTCAGGAACTTCTGGAGGATCATCTTTTTTAGTACAGGTAGTCCTCAACTTATGTCTGTTTACTTAACAACTATTCAAAGTTACAACAGACTCAAAAAGTTACTTACAACCTGTCCTTGAAGTTATATCTTCTGCATCACATGATCACATTTCAGGCACTTGACAGCCGGCTTACATTTATGACTTAGTCACAGCATCTCACAGTCACATGATTATGTTTTGCAACTTCTTTTCCAGGAAAAAAAATGCCTGTTGGATTTGGACTTATGACAATGCAATTCACGTATTGACCTTGTGATTCACTTAACAATCACTATATAATGCCCATAAAAATCAAGTCCGCATACCTGGTGACTTGATTTATGACCGCAATGACTTATGACCAAAATTCTGAGTTCAGCTGTGGTCATCGCTCAAAGATTCCCTGTAAAGACAAGGATCTGATTTTTGTTCAAAGATTGCAAACAACAATAAAACTGAAAGTGGGGTACTATATAATGATGTTGAAATATGGTGAACAATTTTTACACAATTATTGCCAATTGTTAAAAACACAGTTGCTTTTCCTACTCTGACCCTCAGCAGTTTATAAATGTCAACTTTGTGAAGGGTGAGACATAATTTTTGCAGGGCTTGCTTGTCTGGTTGATGATTATAAAAATTATGCAAAGAAACACAAGATAAAATTGAAAGGTCTTAGTATCTGTTGATTAATCCTCTTTGTAAAGTATGTGCAAGAGATGATCAAGTTGAGCTTGAGGAAGGGGTCAGTCAGTCCATGAGTTCATGCATGCCCACAAGAGATCTAAATCCAGTCCACTTTGAATTCCTTTCTATTCTTAAATCCCACAAATTTCCCTTGATTGTCAGATTCAGATTAGCTCAGATTCTTCTAGAGAGCGTAAACTTGCAATAAATTTTATATTCATTTGAACTGCCTGAATCTCCAGACTTCCCTGGTGCTTGATAGTATGTTTCCCCTAAAATATATGAATACTGAACATTATTTGTGCTTGATCTTATGTTTTGAAGGAACCGACAGATAACTTAGAGGACAGTCTTCCTGATTCCAAACCAGAGTTTGTTATAGGAACTGAAGGGAATGCAGAAAACAAATCTGCCCCAGAGCATGTAGAAAACCCAGGGAATCACACAGAAGCAACAGAAAATACAGGTATTATTTTTTAAAGTGCTAAAATTAAAATACTATAATGATTATAATTGAAAAGTAGCCAATACCTATTATTTAATTTACAGCTTGATACAATCTCATGACTCTCTGTCTCTCTGTTACTCTATCTCTCCATCCATCCATCCATCCATCCATCCATCCTTCCATCCATCCATCCATCCATCCATCCATCCATCCATCTATCTATCATCTATACATATACCCCATAAATAATGTGAAGAAAGACATTGCTAATTTGTACTCACTGTCCACTTGTCATTTCTGACACTGGAGGTGACACTGGAGCACTACTCAGGTGACCCTGAAGACACAGATAAACTTCCAAGTGTTTCAACAACCTGCTAAAAGGATGCAGATTACCAGCTCCAGAAATATAAATCCTTCCATTCCCCACTGTCCTATCAGGGCTGAAGAAGCTTCTTGGATGATAAGCAAAATGTCTTCAAAAGAAAAAACAAGGAACTCCAGGTGCCTCCAGAAAAAGTACCTTTGGGACAAACAAATGGTTCATTGAGCAAATTAGCCCAGAATTCTCACTTGAGGCACAAATGACTAGGGTCAAATTATCCTACTTTGGATTTAGGGTTAGGTTTGAACTTATGTGAAGATCTAGTTCTCTGGAGAAGTCTCTAATGCTGGGAAAGGTAGTAGGAAAGAGAAAAGGAAGAGGGCCAAGAGAAAGTAGATGGACTTGATTACAGTGGCAATGGATACATCCTACATATAATGCAGATATATAACTGGCATTCAATTTTTAATAAGAAATCAAACTTCTGTCTTACAAAAAAATAACACCGATTTCCTTTCAACCAATTCAAAGTCTGAAAATGAGCAAATATCTTTCAATCCAGGATTTTAAGATCAAAGTAGTGGATTTTTCCATAAACTCAAAATTTTTTCACAAGCTGATAAATGTCATGTTTTCAGGGTATGATTCGAGATTACATTAACCTCTCTAAACCATTTTTACCTTCTCAAATTCACCCTGACAATAGTAGTCCTGAAATGGGACTACTAATGAACAAGTCCCCATTGTAGCAAAAACTTCGCAAAGTATATTACATCTGCAGATGAAAATTACAATATATAGCCCTTTTTAAGCATCTACTGATGTGAAGTACTATCATCTTAAACTCAGAAAAGATATAAGAGACAATATTGATTCACTAAAATAGGATAATCCAAGTCTATTCTAAATGTCCATAACCTATTTTAGTAATTCCTTTCAGTTGTCTATGAAAAGAGTTTATGTATTTAGAATCTTCTAAAACATTTTCCAATAAAACAAATAATTTGAGGCCAGAAGTTGCTAATGCATCAGGACCAAACTAGATAGTCAAAATATATTTATCTATTTATATGCTATTCCAGTCCAAGTTCATCCAGTCTAGTCCATCATTTTTTCAATAATAAATTGAAAAAGTAATCAGTACATCAAAAGAAAGTTAACACCCTAAGAATCAATCATTGGTTCCTTGACACATATTTCTTCTGATTGGTTTCTTCTACTTTATCCTCCTTCATACATTGCATATTTATGTTAGTAAGCTCAAAAGAGGTGTGTCTTTTAATATTATGATAACACAGAGGTTACCAAAATTTATATATCTACGTGCTATAGCTAGCATCCTTCAGTTGTGTCCTTCTAAGTCAGGGGTGTCCAACCTTGGCAACTTTAAGACTTGTGGACTTCAACTCCCAGAATTCCTCAGCCAGCTTTGCTGGCTGAGGAATTCTGGGAGTTGAAGTCCACAAGTCTTAAAGTTGCCAAGGTTGGACACCCCTGTTCTAAGTTGTAACTTTCTTGTTGCCAAGCAGTAGTGTCCCACCATTCGTTATTGATCTCATTACTCATTGCAGCTGCAACTTTCTGCCTCAGCAATTCCTTTAACCAACTTTCCTAATTCCAACCTAAGTCCTTCAAGAGGAGATAATAGTATTCAATGAATGGCAACATCCTTGAATTTAAAATTTAAACAATAATGTAAAAATAATATAATAAAACAGATAAAGAAAGAAAAACATCTAATATCGTATGCTAGATGGAATCTTTTCCCATTTCTATATGGAGATTAAAAAAAAAAATGTGAACAAAATGATCTGTCATTCTGTTCCCATCCTGATTAATTTATCAGCACCTTTCGGATCAGATAATATTTTCTCACCTCGATTAAGAGTATCTAGAAAAGGGGTAATACAAAATCTGCAAATGGTATTAATCTTCCTGAATTATGCTATACAGTGAATTAGGAGCCAATTCAAGTAGCAATTATTTCAACAGCTGGAAGGTTTGCATGCCCTGCAGAATTTTTCTACATATAAAGAAAAGCCATTAAAGTATCAAAGCTTCATTTAACACAAGAGTGATATAGAATAGTGGATATACTCAATTGAAAAAAAATTGTGGGAATCATAAACGAACTGTTTCAACTTATTTTTCAAAAATATTGTAATCTTTTTTGTTAATTTTTAGCACCCATAAAAAATGACACTGAAAGGAAATTTTGTTACCAGCAGCTCCCAGTGACATTAAAACTCATATATACAATATTGCAGGTAGGTTTCACATTTATTATTATTTCAAAATGTCTTTATGAATTCAATCATTTAGAACAGCAAACTCAATAAAGCACCATTTTTGGGATTTGTATGGAATCTTTTAGAACATACAAATCTAAAAAAATATATGCATCAAAAAGTGAAAAATATATAGTGAAGGAGAATCAAACTAACCGAAGTGCTTAGTTATGTTTTGATTGTTAGAATTTTGTTTTAGTTCGTAATTTATTATTTTTGTGTGGAATCCAAGGTTAATTTTACCATACTTTATTTGCTTCTTTACCAAATTTTACATAGGAAATGGCACGATTTGAAGAGCCAGATATTCTCTTTAACATGCTTAACTGCTTGAAGATTCTTTGCCTTCATGGGGAATGCTTATACATTGCAAGGAAGAACTATCCTCAGTTCCTAGCATATATTCAGGACTACATGCTGATTGCCAGGTATAAATTTGATCAAGAGGAGGCTTAATAACTTCATAGGTTATCCCCAAACAAGTTTTGGTGGCCATAAATCAATGGTTTTATTTTTGGTGCAATTGGGACTGAAATTGTTAAATACATTAAATCAACATAATAATAAAGGGTGGAGCTATACCCATCAGTAGTCCAAAGCAATGTTTCTCAACCTTGGTTGGCTGGGAAATTCTGGAAGTCGGAGTCCACACATCTTAAAGTTTCCAATGTTGAGAAACACTGGCCCAAAGCATATATTCAGACACTTAAGCCTGTTCTGGAGTTTCTCTGCTGGATAATTGGGTTTTGGAACTGCCATTTCAATTTTCCATAGTGCTCTAGGGATCTTGATTAAAAGAGCATTGTAGAGAATTAAAAGTTACTTAAGGTGCCTATAATTGGTTATAATAACACTGTTGATGACATATAAGCTTAACAGAGCCACTAAAATACAAATAGACTATCAGAGGGCATTTTCCCCAAAGATTCCTTCAAATCTGACGTACAAAATTGTAGACAAGGCAGATTCATTCAGTATCACAGAATTTAAACTAAGAGAATTGAAATCAATTCTACTTTGTAGCCCAAAGTTAAAACATCTTCAAAAGAAATGTAATGATCTACTTTCCCAGAATTCTTGCCTACAATGGCATTGATGCAGATATAAGATCCTATTTGCTGTCTTGCTGGATCTCTTCCACCATAAGCAGAAAAAGGGGGGAAAGATGGAATTTATTTCTGGTTCCTAATTAAAAAGTACCATTTAGACAATAGAGTTGCACCACAGCTAGGGGGAGAGGCTTTACCACATCTTTATAGGCATAAAAATTATTGATTGCAGAAATCAGTTCTGCTTGATGTAGCAGCAAAAGTAACAAAACTAGTAATCTATTCATGGAATCATGATCATGTGTTCCTCTCCTCTCTTGTCTGTCCCCAGCTTATGGAGAGTTGTAAAATCAGAGTTCTCCCAGCTTTCTTCACTAGCAGTGCCACTCCTTCTCCATGCTCTTTCATTGCCTCATGGAGCTGATATTTTCTGGACAATCATCAATACCAACTTCAATAGCAAAGACTGGAAAGTTAGATTTGAAGCAGGTATGTCTTTAACAGAAGAAATCTATGGTTCAAAAATGTACACATTTTAAGGAAATCTTCCCTGAAATGTTAACAAATTTCCCTGCAGATGATATTGGTATAAGTAAAAGCACATCTATTTATGTTTATTTATTGTTTAAAAAATTTGTATGGCTGTGCATCTTTAAAAAATTCTGGGTGGGAGATTCAGATGTTTTAGGAGTTCAGGGAGTTTAAGGCCTCATGGCAACCATGAGCCCCAAGTCCAGTCCAACTCACACAAGTAGCCACATGCTTTTATCTTGGATTAATTTGCTTGCGATCTGAAATTTTAAGTTTTTGGCATGGTCAGGTCACTTTCTAGTCACTATGCAGTCTATTACCTATGAATAGTGAGGGAAGTTTAGGATGGACTTTACTAGGAACCTTTGGGTCCTTTTAGAATAGAATAGAATGACATAGTTAGAAGGGGCCTTGGGGGTCTTCTAGTCCAACCCACTGCTTAGGCAGGATACCCTATACCACTTCAGACAAATTGTTATTCAATCTCTTCTTAAAAACTTCCAGTATTGGAACATTTACAACTTCTGGAGACAAGTTGTTCCACTGATTAATTGTTCTAACTATCAGAAAATTTCTCCTTAGTTCTAAGTTGCTTCTCTCCTTGATTAGTTTCCACCCCTTGCTTCTTGTCCTGCCCTCAGGTGCTTTGGAGAATAGCTTGACTCCCTCTTCTTTGTGGCAGTCCCTGAGATATTGGAACCCTGCTATCATGATCTGGCAGCAATTCTGCTTTACAACTGGTCAAGCTCTGGAATGCAAATACAAATATTTTAGATGGTCTTTCATAATTGCTCTCTCACAAAAGGTGCCATGGTGCCATGGCTCAGTTAATATGCTTCTTTATTTGCTCTTTACTTACAGTGGAGAAAGTAGCCGTGTTGTGTAGATTCCTGGATATTCACTCAGTGACCAAAAACCATCTACTGAAATATTCCTTGGCACATGCCTTTTGTTGTTTTCTGACTGCTGTGGAGGATGTGAATCCAGCTGTGGCCACCAGAGCAGGGCTTCTGCTAGACACCATAAAAAGGCCAGCCTTGCAGGTATGTTAAACAGTGAAGAAACAAACATGGTCCCAGATAAATTGCAGGCTTAAAATTTCTTGGTAGATTTTGTTGAAGTTGAATCCATTTGTGTAACCTCTCAAACTTTATGATCATATTGGTGGCTTTGATAACTCAAAGTAATTGCTGTTATAACTGTTATTTTTCTTTTTAGGGACTATGCCTTTGTCTTGATTTCCAGTTTGATACTGTTGTCAAAGACAGACCCATTATTCTTAGCAAGCTTTTGCTACTACATTTTCTCAAGCAAGATATTCCAGCGTTGAGCTGGGAATTCTTTGTGAATCGGTTTGAGACACTCTCTCTTGAGGCACAACTTCACTTGGACTGCAACAAGGAATTCCCCTTCCCAACAAGTAAGAAAGCTTGGTAGCATGATTTATTTTTTACAATTAGGGTTCTAAACTAAAATGTCTCTTTTTTATTGAAAAAAGTGCATATCTAAGGTGAATAACTCTTGTAAATCTTATATCCCCTTTGTGGGGAAAAATTCTAGTGATATTTGGCTAGTTGCTCCAGTTACTGGTGTGGTACTGATGATTATGGCACCACACCTTAGGCTGGCAATATAACACAAATAAAATACCTTCGCTGCTTCAAAGAATTTATATGAATTAAAAAATAATGGACCTAGTTCAGAAGTAATGATCTTGATAAAGTATAGTTTATTAAACCAGGAACCAGAATTTCCCTGTAAGCTCCTTCATGATCCTTCTCTTTTTGAGGCTAAATTCAAATTCAGTGCTACTGTCTATTACTTAAATCATAGTTTCCTATCACATCCAAACCAAAAAAACTGTCTCTCATAGAAGCTGTGGTTTGAATACATAAGACAACTTTGTAAAAACTGGATTTGAAAGTTTATGGAAGAAACATACATTTACATGCCTTATTCCTGGGGGGCAATATTTATCAGTCATATATCATTTCTTTTGGATGAAGCCACTCTATCAGCCTAAAAGGCATGTGCTAATTTGGACAGGTTTTTTTTCTGTGCTCCCCATACATTATCTCTCTGTAGAAGAGAAATTGAAACTATACGCCACACTGTTTGGAAGCCCCGAGTTACAAACAAATGCACATTTTTGAACGCAAGCATGAAAACTGCAGAGGGAGCTATGAAGATGTGGGTTTCCAAGTTAGACTATGAAATGAAATTTGGTTTAATCCTGTTTGAAAAGCGATCACAGCGGTCCGGACCAATGTTGCCAACTTAAGTGACACAGCAATGTGGAAGATCAAGAGAGCTCGGTTTGCTCGGAATCGGCAGAAGAGCGTGCGTTCTTTGAGGGACAGTGTGAAAGGTCCAGCAGAATCCAAGAGGGCACTTTCTCTTCCAGAAACCTTAACAACCAAAATCCGTTGAGTATTTTATTTTATTTTATTTTCTCCATTTTAATTCTGTTGCGCAATTGCCACTAGGTGGAGATGAAATCTAGGATTTGGCCAGACTTTTTTTTAAACTGACAAAACAGTTGGTTTTAACTGATTGTTTTGTCACAGTTTACAGCATGCTACTGAAAGATCATAATGATCTATGGAATAATAAAATATACTATCTATTTCTGTTTGCCACTATCATTTATAAACAAGTCCTTTTCTTTAAACCCATTTTGTTGGTTGTTTTAATAAATTTGCAAGCTGTTAAATTCTTCCAGACTCCAAATCATAATTTGTATGTACGCTATTTGTGAGTGGTGCCTCTCTACAAAAAGGAGAAATTAGTGCATGTGATATATCTGTGCGTGTATACACACATGACATGATTATTAACCATAGTTTTCTACTCATTAATAACAACCCAGCTTCATAAGTATACCTGACTTGTATCTGTAGCGCAAAAAAAGGTTTTGGCAAGCTAACCATTGTTACTACAAAGATTCATCTACCCCAACCCATCCACTCTGTTCAGATCTATGTTTATAAGTATTTTTTGTTTTATATATCACTATGTCACTGATTGCATTGCAGTTCTAAACACTGGGAAAATACTGCTTCTTTCATGTGCATCTTCTCAGATGCAATGTTATTGTCCACTGTTAAAAACAATAAGCTGACTAGATATTTTAACATCTCCACAAACTATTGGGTGACATTACTTGCTTATTTGAGGTCATGACTTGAGTACAGTCTACATAGAGCTTACCCTTAAAAATCACTCATAGTGCAACAGGGCAGACAGTGATGGTCATGCTTCAATATGCCTGTGTAACAACTCTGCTTTGTCAGCTGCCCTAGTTGCCAGTTTGTTTCTGGGTGCAATTTGAGGTGCTAGTTGTTACCCTACAGGGCATAGAGCCTGATTATGTAATGCCTGTCTCCCATAGTATATGCCCAGCAGATTGGAACTGGCAGGGTTGGCATGCTTCAGTTTCCTTTGATTAAACAATGGTATCTATTGGGACCCCAGAAGCATGCTTTCTCTACAGCAGTATATCTGCCCTCTGCAAAGAGATTCCCCAAAAGTTCAAATAGTAATATATTCAAAATAAATTACCCATTGATAATTTAAAGGCACCTGAAGATCTAGCTCTTCACCAAGGCCTTTGATGAAGTTGACTGTAGCCTATTTTAATTTCTGTCTTTTTGTTTCCTTGTTTTTAAATATTGTTTTACTGTATTATTATAAAATGCAAGTAATACATTATATTGTTTGGCCACAGTGATATTTATGCAGTATTAACTAGAGACTATTAAGATGTTTTAGGTAAATTAAACCTTTAAATGTTTTTAACAATTTGAAAACTGTCCAGGGCCATTTGGAGTCAGGAGGCATATAAATTTAATGAATTTCTATATTTATTATTAAATATATATGCCCAGTAGGAACACTGGTCCCTCAAGTTTTAGTATTTACCCATATTGATTGACAGTGGGTTTCTAATATTGCATGGTGGTACTGATTTGCAAAGTTTAGAATTTCTCCAGCTTTGCAAAAACATGTCTCAACTTCCTGCACACGATATATATGACCCTCCATTGAGTATCGCAATGGCTCCTGAAGATGCCACAGCTCCATGCAAGCTAACCATACTTTCCATTTTTTGAAGCAGCAAGGCTGATCAGACAGGAACAGTCTGCTCCAGCCCTTGGTGGAACACCAGAAAAAGCACAAGGTAAATGTGGCCTTTATTTATTCTGTAATTACATAAAGAAAAAAAGACAGATTCTTAACTTCGGATATTTTGTTGCTAGTCAAATATATGAATCAGAAGGACCTTTGGAAATTCCATGATACTTTAACCTGTACATTTTCTATAACTTTTTGAACTATATTTTCCCACCAAGTTTTCATTATCGGCACGTGATAATTTTGACAAACGTTCCAAGGAATCATTTTGACGTCTGTGTTATGTTGTTGTTTATAATTAGAATAATTGTTATAGTTTTGCCCCCTGGCCACAGAAAAAAAGATATATACTGTTTTGCTGCCATTTTAAAACCTCCTTTAAAAGAGACATTTAGCCTTTCTACCTAGTGATAATCTCTATATTACATTTTTTTTAAATTTTCTCTGCTAACAGGGCAGCCTTCTCCAGAGAATGATAATACCATAAAGGACCTTCTCCCAGAGGATGTTGGGATTGATCATCAAACTGTCCATCAACTCATTACTGTGCTGATGAAATTTATGGCCAAGGATGAGAGTAGTGCAGAATCAGATATCAGCAGTGCTAAAGCCTTCAATACAGTCAAGCGCCATTTATATGTCTTGCTGGGCTACGATCAACAGGAAGGATGCTTCATGATTGCACCTCAGAAGATGCGAATATCAACCTGCTTTAATGCATTTATTGCAGGAATTGCACAGGTGAGTTAGATTTATGCATTTGGTACAACCTGTCAAATTATCCCTCATGGTCCAGCTGAATCTCTATTGCACTTCCTGAAAATGAAATTAAGAGCCATAATCAGAAGAATTCAATGGCACATGGGGCATTTATTTGTATGAAAAAAAGGCACTGTTATATGCACTGTTTCTAAAAAGTCCTAATCTCTCATTTAGGTACATTGTGCTTATACACAGGCATACATAAACACATTTTCGTACAAATGATTAGGTACATATGGTCAGATTATATTTTAACTGATGTCTAAATGAACAGAAATTGATACAATTTCAAAAAATGAAAAGACATATTTCTGAAAATTGGAATGGAACCTTTCTATATAGGAGCAGTTGTTTAAAGATTAAAAGTTTTAAAAAAAGTAAAATAAAAAAGACTGGAATTTCTTGAGACTAGGAAATGAGCTTCCTCAGTCATGGTCATTCTTTCCTGGAATAGAATTCCTCCAGAGGTGGCAGTGGCTTCTACTATATGGAGTTGGTCTTTCTTTTTTTCTTTTTTAGAAAGGCATTTAAATATGTTTATTCTGTCTCTCTGTCTGTCTGTCTGTCTATTTATCTAGCTGTCTATTAAGTAGATATGTAATAAAGGAAATCCTTCTGCTATGGATTTAGTAATTATAAAATGTTCCTTGGGTATTGTTTTTGTCTTGCTGCTGTTATATTTTAATGTTTGTATTATTTTATAAGACACCCAGAGACTTGTTTTGATTAAGTTAGTAGATATACATGAGTGAGAAAGGAAGAAAGACTTAACTACACTATAGATTTAATTGCAAAGTAGCAGGGAAGCACTGAAAGGGGCAAAACAGAGGTGGTATTCAGCAGGTTCTGACCAGTTCTGGAGAACCGGTAGCGGAAATTTTGAGTAGTTTGGAGAACCGGCAAATCCCACCTCTGACTTGCCCCGCCCTCGTCTATGTTCTGCCTCCTGAGTTCCCGCTGATCGGCTGGGTCTTCTTTTGTTGCGCTACACAGGGGAACAGAGCTGGAAAGCAGGTTAGTGGGGTGGGGAGGGAATGGAGATTTTGAAATATCTGGTAGTAAAAATGTTTGAATCCCATCACTGGGGCAAAAGCAGGTGAACCTCAGTATTAGTCTTTAGATTTAGCCTGTAATCTAGATGTTACATATTTCCATTGATGTTTCCCCATGCCTTAAGAATCCAGGTTGCTCATAGCACATGAGCAAAGATAGGAAAGTGAAATATCAAAGCTTGTTAGGAGAAGAAATGGGCATCCCTGGCCAATAGTGATGTCACCGGCTAATCCTTTCAACCTGGAAGCACCTTGGTAGGTGCTTCCAACATGAATGTAGCAGTGGTAATAGGAGAATAAATATGTTCCCTTGACCATGGTGTCATAGGCTGGAGACACAGGCATTTTCATTTGTAATAGATTAACACTTTTTAATTGTGTTCATTTTTAGAAGACTTATTTCTAATACTTTAAACATTCTTTTAATGCAAGCTATTGTAGGGGCTAATCTATTAAGCTGTGAGCATGGCCGAATTGCAATAATTGTTGGTTGTTTGCCTAACAATCCTTGCAAAGGATGTCTACATACCAAACAGAGCGTGGATAAGACCGAGACAGAAAGTTATCCCAAAATGCAGTCCGTTAGTGCTCAGTTAAATTCTGAAATATTTCAGTCAGAGAACATGAATGAAACATTTCTCACAGATATTCTTTTTTCATCGTTGCTATTGTAACAGCATTCTGGAAAGGAATGTTCTAGTAGCAAGGACTGATGCACGATATAATAATCAAATTATTGTTTTGGATGCTAGTCCAGCAGATGGTGGTGTATCTCTTTCCTTGAAAGTGACTATCACTGTGACTGGAAACCATTTGGCAAAGTGATATTGTGTTGAGCTCTAGCAGGGATAAATTATGCGGCTGAAGATGAAGTACTTGTAATCCACTAGAGGTTTTTGAACTACAATCTGTAGCAACTGTGGTCACATCAGATAACGGTGTGGGTTCTAGGAGTATTAATTAATTAACCAGCAATATATGAAGTGCCATATGTCCTCCTCTGCTCAGGCTAAGGCAAACTACCAAGGGACTGATCGTTTGGCTGAGAGATTCCCAATATCAGGACTCAGCTTGAAATGAGTACTGTACATATGTGGATACTTAAAGGGTTCTTGATGTGTATGGGAGTGCTGACTACACAAGGAATTGCATGTTTATGTGTTTACCAGAATAAATGTCCTTCAGAATGAAGGATTGAATATCAATCAGGAGAGCGGCATAGCTGGAGTACATACTTATGTTCAGGAATTTGAGGCTATCCTATTTCTTCCCACTATCCCTTTTCATACATTTTATGAGCACTGAATAGTTAAGTGAAAAGTTATAGAATAATAGCTTGAATTCCAGGGCTATCATTGTTCATCTGTTTGGCTTTACAGCTATTGTTTTATTTTTCCACACTCGGCGTGGGGGAGGAGAATCTTTTCATAATTATTTATTTTTAGACCGAAATTTGTTAGGATATTTATCCTATAAAGTGGCAGGCACAGTGATGTCAATTAAAAATGACTCTTTGAATAGTATGGTATGATACAATATAGTATGGTACTGTATGTACATTTGTGTGGACACATTGCAGGCATATAGTTTTAATTCGTGAAAAGATACCTGCTAAATATAGTGAGCATTGCTTCGTATTTTGTCATGCAATGAGAAGGGGACATTTTGCTTACAAGGAACTTGAGAGCATTCTCCTTCCACAGAGATGACTTTTCACTATGACGCTATGGAGATAGCTAACAAAAAAGACAAACCATTGTGTATTATAATTTCCTGCTGATCCTAAGAATGCACATTGTATTTTCCATTCACATTCAGGGTCACAGATGACAATTAACTCCTATCATTCAAGTTGCATATATCTTTACTGTCCTGAATGTGCTGTTTAATACAATTAAATGATCATAGGTTTGTCTTAATAAGCCACTATTTAACCTTGTAGGTTTATTTCTGCAATCGCGGCTAAGGTTTAAAGAGAATTTATTGGTGCAGGTCTTCAAATAGTGTTTTTTTTCCGTTTTAAAGAGTGTTCTAAATTCTAAACTAATGTTAATTTTAGGTGATGGATTACAACATTAACCTAGGGAAGCATCTTCTTCCTTTGGTGGCTCAGGTGTTGAAGTACTGCACGTGCCCTCAGCTTAGACATTATTTCCAGCAGCCCCCTCGTTGTTCCCTCTGGTCCCTTAAGCCTCACATTCGACAGATGTGGCTGAAGGCCTTGCTTGTCATCCTATATAAGGTAAGCACTTCCCTTACTTCTTTGAGTTACTCCAAATCCATGTCTAATCAGAACTTCAGAGCAATTCTTTTTATGAAGACAATTATAGCTTAATACATATTAGGGGTGAGTTACCTTTTCTTCATCTTGACCATTCTTTGTTTTGGCTTCAGAAGGCATGGCCTTTGATTAAGGAAAACACTGAAAGGTGGTACTAATTCCCGCCCCCCTTTTAAAAAAAAACTGGAGAAGATTTTAAAAGACAGAATGGGTTCCTTAAATTTGTAGAGGTATACTGTACCCATTGTACTTTTTCAGTCATTCCCAAATGTTGAAAATTGTGTTTGTGCAAGATTTTTTTTTTTTACCACTTAAAACTTATAAATAAAAAATGTTTTGAGGAATTTGCCTCTGCTAGCTTCATCAGAGATGGGAAGCTTCTGGCTGAAATGGCAAAATTGACAATTTTGATTAAAGAAAAAAATACGGATACTTTTGATTCCACATGGAAACCGCTTCTGAACTTTGTGCTTGAAGTGGAAAAGAATGAAACTTTGATTTTGGGTTTCACCAGTTAGACTGATGGATCCTTATAGAAATGGTTAGTTTATATTATTATGAAAAAAAAACCAAAAAGTTGTGATTTGATGTTAATGCCTTATTTTACTGCAACAGAGAGAGTCGGAAATCAATGCTTCTTTTTCTTTTTCCTAATCCTTCCCTGCTCTTCTTCACCCCCTTCCTCCCCATTGTTTTCCTATTTTCTTTTGTATTTTGTTTCTTATTTTATCTTATAACTCAATAAAAATGTTAACAGTGAAAAAAAGTTCATTGAGGAATTTGGTTCTGCCAGCTTCACCAGAAGACTGTAGACCGGAAACTTCTGGAGTCATCTGTGAATGCAGGATTGCTTATTCTTGATATACTGTATATAAATCAGATGCTACTTTTAAAAGCAAAGAATAACTTAAAAGTTATTTTACAATTCCTTCCTACCAATAAAGTATAAACATGATTTCATTTTTAGCACTGTTGATCATAATTGTTCCTCCTTTGGCTTATGATGTGCTAAATAAATAAAAGAGTTGAAATAATTAAATTACTGCTTTGTAGATTTTTTTTCCAGAATAAATGAAAATATAAATGAAAATAATCAAATGTTTAAAAATATTTCTTTTCTTCTTCCCTCCCTCCCTCCCTTCCTCAGTACCCTTATAGAGATTGTGATATCAGTAAAATTGTGCTGAGTCTCATCCATATAACCATCAACACATTAAATGCCCAGTATCACAGCTGCAAGCCTCATGCCACAGCAGGTCCTTTGTATACTGACAACAGCAATGTAAGCCGGTACAGTGAGAAAGAAAAAGGTATTAACATCATATGATTCCCACCAAATGTCATTAATTTTTTTTATTTTTATCTTCTTTTTTTATCTTCAGTTTTTTTAAAGAAAAAAACTATGCTACATATGCATTCCATAGAATATAACAAAGAAAAGTATTAAAAGCTTATTTTGTATATGCAACAGTGTGGGGTGCAAAATGACCTTTTATATGTAACCCTATAAACCAGCAACCCTATTTTTAAGTATTTCTGATCTGAACTAGCTAGCAGCTAAAAGGCTGTTTAATTGTTCAACATGTGGACAGCCTCAGCCATAGTTTTACCTGTGAGCATCCTAGACCAAATTTAAATCCAAGCAACTCTAGGAAATTCCTAGAACCTTGGCATTCAGACAAATCAGCCATCAATAGAGATATAAAGATAAATCACATTCACACACCATTCAAAAGAGACAATAAAAAAGCTAGGAAGGAAACCAAAAGATCAGACTACGTCCTCTCTAGCAAAGTCCTTTTCCGCTTTGCTGGATGCTTGGTGGATGTGATTTGGAAAAGGATGAGGAGGATTTTGTTTGTTGCTGAAGTCACACATTTTGAGCAAATATGCAGAATAGAAGGATTAAATTTAATAATACCTTGATTAACAGCATCACTGAATGCATGGCTTTAGGTCTTCATCAGTCTTTTGAAAAGAATAGTTGTGGAATTATTATGGCATTTGAGTTGAGACAATTGTAGTCCTTATACAATCTGCAAGGCATTTTTGATTTGATGGAACTGAAAATATATGATGCTGCCTTATTATGATGAACATGTCATGTATTTTATTGAAAGGAGTTCTTTGTGGGAAAGAATCCTCTATTTGAAGAACTTCTGAGTCCAAGTTTTTATATTTAAATATGCACTGGGTTTATATGTTTAGAATAATAATATAATTGGAAGGGACCTTGAGGCCTTCTAGTCCAATCTTCAGCAGGAGACCCTATACCATTTTAGACAAATGGTTATCCAGTCCCTTTTGGAAAGCCTCCAGTGACTTTTGTATGTAGGTAGTAAATTGAGAACTGTATTGCAAAATTCAAAGAAATATGCAGTCCAAATAATTATTGTGTTCAAATCTGCATGCCATACAGAATCTCTCTTTTATTTCTTCCTCTGTCTAAAATAATTTCATCAGTTATCTTAATCACAGATTTTTCCCCAAATACATAACCTCAGCTTACTGTATCTTTTTTACCACGAAGGAAGGTGTGTATTTTGTGTAATGTTGTTGTGATATGTCTATGGAAATTCTCAGTCATCCAGGTCATGGTTGTCCCAAAAGTGCTTTTTCAAAAGGCAACTGGACTTTTTTCCTTGAAAATGTTTTGCTTCTCATCCAAGAAGCTTCTTCAGCTCTGACCGAAGAAGCTTCTGGGATGAGAAGCACTGATGAAGCTTCTTGGATGAGAAATGAAATGTCTTCAAGGAAAAAAACAAAGTCCAGTTGCCTTTTGAAAAAGCACTTTGGGGCTATTGTGATATAGCTTTAAGCTGTGTGAAAATAGTTGACCTTTTATTAGGATGAGGGTTGTGATACTGTTGCCTACTTTTTCTTTTTCAAGCAGAGGAAGACAGTGTCTTTGATGAATCAGACATTCATGATACACCCACTGGAACAGGCAATAAAGAATCACAAACGTTCTTCGCAAGGTTGAAAAGAATTGGAGGCAGCAAAGTGGTGAAATATCAGCCAGTTGAGATGAATGCTCAAAAAAGTATGTATATCATTGGGGGCACGGGGAGGGGGGAGGCGTTGTCACGTTAGACACAAAGCTTCTGCTTGGAAATACTATGATTATATGATTATTGCTTGGTATGTACTGTGAATATATTTGACCTGAACTGGGATAAGGTAAGCAAACATATTAAAATCTGTATCTTAGAATCATAGAGAGATTTTTGTGGATTGTCTACACCAGTCAGCCCCTATTCAGTGCAGAAATCTCAGAGATAGATAGTATCCCACAAAGAAAAACATCATTGTCATAGAAGGACAATGTACCACCTTTATGGGGAATTGTTCCACTTGCCAGCTGCACTTTTAATAAAGCAGTTTCTTATAATTTCAGTGGAAACCAATCTTTTTGCAATATAAACACATTAGTATTAATTTTGTGTTTTGATCTAGGAGTATTATAGCCACGTATTATTGTTACTGTTCTTCAGATCTTCCTCATCCACACAGGAGAATCACAGCCAGCATATAAGTCTCTGACTTAATTATGCTATATGCCTGAATAAGTCTGAACTTTTAACATCAATTCAGTCATTCTCTCCTAGTTAGATACGTTTAAATTACACACTTTATTCTGGATATTGTAAAATAAAATGCAATAAAATTGCCACTTATAAAATACTAAGTAATAGCTTACTGTATTGCTGTCAGTCCTGTAAGACTGAGTCACTTATAATTTAGAATAAAATAAAAGTTATTTTTCTTTTCTCCTGTTCAATATCCAGTCTGCTAAACATAGTGAAATCTTCACTAGATTTTCTGTTTTTACAATCTTCCCACGAATGAAAATATTATCAGAATTGATATCATGAAATGCGGCATGAATCAGTAACTGTAAAAAAAGCTAAGCTAAGCATGGTGTTATTAATATTAAAATTACTGTATTAATGTTGCCATTTTCTTCTTGTTAACTGGTTTCATGTGTCACTCTGGAAAATCTCATTAGGATGAGGATTACCTGCATCCATTCAATGTAGCCTTGAAATTATAAACAGGGATTTTATCTAAAATGCCAATATAGCTTAAATATGGAAATTCAGAATCACATTGAATGGAATAGTACCAGCTTTTTCTATTCTAGGTGAAATAGAACTGGCTGAATATAGAGAAACTGGCATATTGCAAGACAATATTCTGCGCTGTATGAGAGAAGAAAGCATTCAGAAAAAGAAACTGCGCTCTCTAAAACAAAAATCTCTTGACATAGGAAACGCAGACTCCCTGTTGTTTACATTAGACGAGCACCGTCGGAAATCATGCATAGACCACTGTGACTTAGAAAAACCACCTGCCGCTTCCACTTACACCACACTGAGGCAGAATGATTATGGACAACCACAGCAAAATTCTTCTACCAAAACAGAAGAACAATATACAGGAGAAAAGGAAAATATTCCAGCTGTCCCGGGAAGAAGTCAAACAAGGCGACGGCCTATTATACCGGAAGTCAGGTTAAACTGCATGGAACCATATGAAGTGACCATAGATTCCCCATCTAAAATGTCTCCTCCAAAGGAGGACTTAGATCTCATAGATCTGTCATCTGATTCAACATCGGGGCCCGAAAAACAGTCCGTTGTTTCCAATTCAGATAGTGACTCCTTAGTTTTTGAGCCCCTCCCTCCTCTGAGAATAGTGGAAAGTGATGAGGAAGAGACTGATCTCACAAGTCAGTTGTGCGACGTTGATTCTAGGATGACACTTGCCTCCTTGCCATCAAGTCCTACCAGTGTTTCTATCCTCAGTCTTAGCATAACGCCGCTGGTGCAATTCAGCACTGAAGATTGTTCCAAAGTTGTAACTCCTTGTGAAGTGAGTCATTTTGTATCATTTGCACAAGATAAAACTCCCCCAACTACCCCTGAAAGTCAAAAGGGTGTTGATGAGCTAGCTAAGCCGGAAGGGATATCCCCTGGCAGCCCCCTGACACTAAAGCAAAAACGGGATATGCTACAAAAATCATACGCTCTCTCGGAGATGTCCATTGATGATAACTCTGATTTATGCATAGAAGGTATGAAGCCTGTTGGACCCTTTCCGAGTTCAACTCGGAAAATGGTCTTTATTCAGCTCCCCGAGGACTCTGATAGCCAAGCTGAAAGTCAGAAGCCAGATGCCAGTGCAGAATCTGATACAGAACCAAGTACAGAACCAAAGCAAGAGGAAGAAGCCGAAGAATCAGAATTTAAAATCCAAATAGTTCCTAGACAGAGAAAGCAGAGGAAGATTGCTGTGAGTGCCATCCAGAGAGAATACCTGGACATTTCCTCCAACATCTTAGATAAGCTGGGAGAACAGAAGGAGACAGGTGAGCAATACTGGTTGCCTATCCATGATGAAATGATCTGATTATCACACTGGGGTTTGTTTTTGGTTTTTTTGAGGAAGAAGAGGCTAGCAAAATTAAGTGATTGTAAAATAGCAATTTATAATATAAAAAAATAGAAAACATTGAAACTGAGTAAAGATCACAGAAAGATTCCTTTCCCATCTCTTTCCTAACCAAACTATCTAGCTCAGGGGTGGGATTCAAATTTTTTAACAACCGGTTTTGAGGGTGTGGCTTGGGTGGTGGGCATGGCTTGGTAGTCATGTGACTGGGTGGACGTGGCTTGGCGGTCATGTTATTGGCTGGGTATGGCCAACTCAGTATCACTCACATCGAAGCACGCCTCTCCTCGCCTGGCCTCTCATGACTGTGGGGATGCTGCAACAGTCGTAACTGTGAAAAATGGTCATAAGTCATAAGTTTTTCAGTGTCATTGTAACTTTAAATGGTCACTCCACACAAGCAAAGTACCAGCAAAGGAGGGGGAAAAAACTCCAGAGATGTTCCTGAGACAGGAAGTCTAGTCCTGCCAAGAATGTAATAAGGGTTAACAGAGAGGCAGTTTCTGTAATCTTTCCTTCCTGCCTTCCTTACAGGATTAGGCCAGTAATTTCTTCTAACAACCGGTTCTCCGAACTGCTTAGAATGTTAACAACCGGTTCTAGCAAATATGTGCGAACCTGTAGAATCCCACCCCTGATCTAACTCAGGGATCTCCAAACTTGGCAACTTTGAGACTTGTGGACTTCAATTCCCACAATGCCCCAGCCAGCATGGCTGGCTGAGGAATTCTGGGAGTTCAAGTCCACAAGTCTCAAAGTTGCCAAGTTTAGAGACCTCTGATCTGGCTAAACAAAAGCCTTTAGGGGAGAAGGGAAAGTAGAAAGATTAGTGAGGCATCATTTATTTCTAGTGAGCTCTCTTTGTTATCAGCTTAATCGTTTCCTCAACAGTAAAGATTTTGTGCAAGGTGTGTGGAAAGGAGTTGATTCATGGTAGGTTGTTCAAATTTTCCATTTGCCACTTTTCTGGAACTTGAAAATATTTGAAAAAGACTTGGTTATTTATTTCTTCATATATATATTCTGCAATTCTTCCAGAGGAATATTGGACTAAGAATGGAATGGCAGTAATCAGTATTAACCAAAGTAGATGACAACTGTTATTCTAGGCTTAAGATTAATTGTCGTTGTCATCATCACCATCATCATCATTAGCATCATCAGCATCCCCCAGCTTGCTTTCCTAAAGTGCTCCAATCTTATCTTTGAATCTTGTGTCTTCAATTTTGTGAGTTAAATCATTGACTATATGGCTGTAGTCAAATATATTTAGAATTGTAGCTGTAGTACTTTATCCACATCGGTGGTGGGATTCAAATAATTTAACAACTGGTTATCTGGCTTAATGATTTCTTCCAACAACCAGTTCACCAAACTGCTCAGAAAGTTAACAACCGGTTCTTCCGAACTGGGGAGAATTGGCCGAATCCCACCACTCATCCACATCCCAATTGTCCCAGCAAAATTGGCTCTATTCATCATATGAACATTGTTACCGTATCCCCATATTTCTCAAATAACAATTGCTCCTGAAGATACTTACAATATGGACATGGGAGTAATATGCACATGTAATCCAAATGCCTGCAGGATCCAGTTTTACTCAGACAACATAGTTGGAATATGGAGGCTCATCTGATGCATTCACATGGTAAATGGTTCAGATATTGGAATGTATAAATCAGACAATATCACAATTATAATAACATATTCTTTGGGAGGCTCCGTCATAGTATGGGATTTGATTCTATATCGCAGAATTGTTCTTTTTTTTCAGATATAAGTTTTATTAAGAATTACAATAATAAGAACTAATCTGAACTAAACTTCTAGAAAGAGAAAAAATAGAAAAAAGAATAAAAAGTGCAAGAAAAAAATAAAAACAAGAAAAAAAATAAAGTATATAATAAACAAAAAGAAAAAAGTAAATGATATTGAACCTTAATATAACTATAAAAAATCTAATAGTAGTTCTTACCTCCTATAAGGTTACAGGTATCTGTTCATCCCATATTCCATCCTTCGTTTATGATGTCAGAAAATGTACATAAAGGATAGCCAGAACTTTGTCAAAAATGTCTAATTTTAACTTTGATCAAATGAATGTACTTTATATTCCTTCCTTTTACTTATTATAGTCTTACTCTTTAATTCAATGAAATATTGTCATAGGATTTGTATTCTCTTCAAGTCTTCTTTATCCCATTACATAGATTTCTTAAAGGCTTTAATAAGCCTCTTTTGTAGATCCAATAAGAAAACATTTTCTTGGTCATTCTCTTGATTTATCATTTGTATTTCTCTTTTGATTTTTTAATTTTCATCAGTTTCTTTTTTATATCCAGTAAAGCATCCTTTTCCAAATCATTACCTTGTCCTATTGTAGTTCCACTTTCAGTACCTTTTCTGTCTTAACAATTAAAATTTGTTCTATATATGTCATTCCTCCATTAATGACTTTTGGACATCCATAGAAGCAGACATCATTATCAACAGTGTAGATATTGTAGTTGCGAATTTCTGGTTCCATTTTTAAAAGATCTCCTTTAATATTTAACTGATGTCGAGATGTATGTTTTTCCCTTTTGTTTTGAATCTTTTGTCTCTTCTAGCATCAGGTTTCTAAAATCATAAAGTAGCTTGCTTTGTTATGGCTTATCAAGATCTTGACTATGGCTTAGTCAAGATAGCCAAAATAAGTTTTTCCCATGAGAAGCTATTTATTTGTTAACAGTTAATTCTAAAATCTTATAGTCAAAGTCAATACTCCAAATCTATCTGGATGCTTAATCCATTTATATTTTTTCTTAGATAAAGGTTATTTAGCTTTTTGCTGTTTATTTCATTTTTTAAAGTTTTAAAGCTTACATTTATTTTTTCTTTGTTCAGAGTTGAAGATAAACTCACCCAATGACTTTTAAAAGTTGTCATTCCAAAGGTCTCTAATAGCTTTAAGATGGTTAATACGCAATTTCTGAGAATGATTACAAAGGAGTTTTGTTAACCTAGTGTCCCTTAAAAGGTTCCACTATGGTTGTGAGCAAGATGGCTAATCTCTTCGTCTCCCAGTGCTCAAAATGGCCAAAAACTGCTGTCCTGCAGTCTCATCATAGGAGTAGTTGTCCGTAGCACATGTGAGTGATCTCCTATCCTCTCCTTATCTGGAGAGATTTTACTCACTGTTTCCTTCGTCTTCACTGCAGTTCTCAGCTCTGCTTTCATTAAGACATTTTCAGTTCCCGTACCTGCCTTGGAAATCCCCCATATACCAGCATTTTCTAACATGCTGCCTTTTAGAGATGTAAGGAAAATATAACAGAGCATTAAAGTGTACACATGCATGATGATAACATACTCATTATGATGGTGAATTATGTATATTAAATATAATTTCACAATTGTCTTTGTAGGGATGCATAGAAATTAAACGTTTACATAGGAGAAAGCTGTGTATTGAAAAAAATTCTCCAGCGTATGTATGTGTAAATCTAATTTCAGTGCGATACAAAGGAAAATAAATGGTTTTCTCATCACAAAGTATCTCATTTCTCCAAATTTCTATTTTAAGTGCCAAGGTGATAAAAGAATATCAGGAAGAAGAAAAAAGGAAAAATGGAAAGAAAAGACAGTGTATGAATAATTGTTTTCTGATTTCAAAAGCCCCCCCAAAAGCTTCTGAGTTCCAAGCAATATTTCTTTTTGCAGATGTATCTACTAAAGTACTTTCAACCTTAGAAATGCCAAGGGAGTCATCTTCTGCTCCTACACTTGAAGCAGGTGTACCAGAGATAAGTAGCCACTCTTCTATGTCAAGTAAGCTCTCCCCTGACTTTGAGGAAAGAAACCAATGTTTACTGCATTTGTGCTTCTTAGTATGTTTTGCCATCTGGTGCATTACTTCTCTCCACTCGTAAATGTTTATGTGTGTATTGTGTTAATTAATTCTAAAAGTATCAGAATGGAGTTGGCATTCGATCATAATGAGGTTTATATTTACAGAAGATTAAAGGGTTTAGGAGTCATTTTATATTATCATTCATGAACACAGAATAAAAGAGTTGGAAGGAACCTCAGAGACCCTGTACCATTTCAGCAAATGGTTGTCCAATCTCTTTATGAAAGTCTCCATTGATGGCACACCCACAATTTTTGAAGACGGCACCCACAACTTCTGAAGGCTATCATCATCTATCTTTTTATCAGAACACAATCTTTAGATAAATGTACTTTTCATAAGTAATGATGTTCACATACTGTTAGGTAGAATAGATACATTTCAATAGTTACACATACAATTCTGCAAGTTGAAGTTCAGTTGTGCCAATTGTGAATAAAAACCAACCATTCAGGAGACACTGGAGACACATGAACAATATATAAGAGCTTTATTATGAAGCTTTTGCAAAAGGGAATTCTGTCCATGGGCAGAAGACCTGGTTCCCAGGAAGGCTGGGGTTTACATACAGGTTCAAATACACAGTCTCTGCTCCTTTCCGGGTTCACAATCTATCCTTTTAGGTTTTTCCTAATCCAGACCAGTGTCAGATACTAGGATCTCACTCAATCTGATATAAATTTGGAAAGCACGCAGTACCCTTTATGTTTCCACCAATTCTATATCATTCAGGAAAACCAATAGATTTTTCTTGTTGCATTTAGTTCTATTTTCTTCACTTTAGAATCCTTTTCCTGTTTTAAATCATTTTCCTGTTTATCCTGCTTGTACTGAATTGTAACCACAGTGAACATTGATATTTTCTACTTGATTAAATGTGAGATGCTTAGCGAGAGAAAATCACGTCTACATTTTCAGGGCCATGTAAATCATATTAAAGTAGCATAGCAAGAATAGACTTGCAAATCATTTTTAGAAATAACTAATAAGAAAAAATGATATCAATAAAATAATAAAATAGGTAAAAATAAAATAAGAATAAAATGTTTTGTGGAGAAAACAATTTAATCAGAAATCTGTATATACTTTATAGGTTTTTAAATGGTAATGAGATGTTTTTCAATAATTCTACCTGCCCCCAAACTCCAATATTTAAAATCAAACTTTTCCTTAAGAAATGAGATAAATATAGTAATTTTCAAAGTTAGTGCTTTCATGCAAGAAGAAAGTACCTGGAAGGGTTTAATTTCCACTAAAAAAGCTAAAATTTTGTAAGATTGTATATTGACACTTTAGAAGGTTGACTTGGTGCCCGGTCTTTGTTGTTTATAATATTTTAAACTGTTTTAGTTTTATAGTTTTAATGTGATTTTATATATTGTTTTAACTTTTGCTTGGGAACTGTCAAGAGTTGCTTGGAGGATAGGCAGCTATATAAATATTTTAAATAAATAAAATAAGAAAAAACAACAACCAATTTCCTCTGTTTTTGGCAACAATTTATGCACTAGGCAGGAATGTCTGTTCTAAAATTTTAATTGCTGCACTTTGCTGGGAAATTCTGTGTGTAATAAACTGGTTTTAAGCATAGCCCTAGAGAAGAAAGTTATGCTATTCTCTAATTTGATGTTGACAAACATTTTTAAAATGAAAAATCACATCAATTGGAAATGGAATTTTAATCTATTTAACAATTCAACCACAGAATCCATCTCACATTTCTTTAGAGTACTAAAGACTGAAATAAAGGCAATAGCAATAGCACTTAGACTTATATACCTCTCCATAGTGCTTTTACAGCACTCTCTGAGTAGTTCACAACATCAGCATAATATTGCCCTTAACAATCTGGATCATTATTTTACCAAACTCGGAAGGATGGAAGTCTGAGTCAGTCTTGAGCCCTTTATACAAAAAATGTATTTTAAATATTTTCAGTGTGACATTCATCAGTAAGATGCCCCGTGGGTCCAAAGGTTGTCCTCATAATCTAGAGCAAATTGGGGGACAGAAATAAAATTGCAGTTACAATTGTAGATCTGTTCGACAATCGTCATCCCCTTCTGAGCACACTTCACTGAATACCAACACATTGGTTGAATGTGTGAGGAGCTATATTATGGAGTAGAAAAGTTTATTTTGAACAACAAGCTGGGTATAGGTAATTGTAAATAATCAATAAATAATACTGAAATCATACAATATATTAATTTCTGACTTGCAGCTCAATTCCGACAGATGAAAAGAGGTTCTTTGGGAGCACTGACCATGAATCAGTTGATGAAGAGGCAGCTGGAACATCAATCTAGTGCTCCTCATAATATTAGCACATGGGACACTGGTAAGTATTCCACATTGCAAAAAATGAAGGCGAGATGGTGAAACGAGGTTGTGAGTGGAACTGGGACCTGCTTTGTGGGGATAGGCTACACAGGAATGGGAAGGGTAAGCAAATTTCTGTAGCGATGGGTCAGGGGAGCATAGGATAGGCCAGGGTTTCTCAAAAGTAGCCACTTTAAGATGTGTAACTTGCAGAGTTAACACATCTTAAAGTGGCCCAGGTTGAGAAACCCTCAGATGGGGCATTCAAAGAGAACATTACTTTGGTGCTGATTCCCTTAATAAGCTTTTAAATCACAATTCAAACTACTGGTATTGTTTTATAGAGCTCTACATGGCTTGATGCCAAATAATTTTCAGGCCCACCTTCTTCACTCACCTTTTTCACTCAGAACTAGATTGTTCAGTTTAGTCATTATGGAAGAAATTCTTGGGGATCATCCATTTCTATATAATAAGGAGGATTTAAGCCAGGGGTCTTCAAACTTTACAGCTTTAAGACTTGTGAACTTCAACTCCCAGAATTCCTCCTCCAGTCATGTTAGCTCAGGAATGCTGGGAGTTGAAGTCCACAAGTTTGAAGACCCTTGATTTAAGCCAACAAATGATGTATCTCTGTCATGGCTCTGATATTATAGAATGACTTTTCTTTAATGATTAGATTTCTCCCTAACTCTGACAGCCTTCCAGAAATAATGAAAATTGAATTGTTTTTGAGGACCTTGGGCAACTTGAATGCCATCTTCTTGATAACCATTGATGTTTAATAGTGACATATTACTGTATTATTATTGTGAGATGGGTGCCATGTTGTGAATTTTAATTTATTTGTGTTAGGATGTTACTGATTGGTGTTTATTATCTGATTATCCTAGACATCTTCATATTTATGCACATTGTTAATGGATATTATAATTCTTGTTTATACCATTGTCATTAATGTTTTTAATTTTTATTTACAGACAATATACATTAATATGTATATTTATTTTTGTGCTGTTCTTTTCCCATAGAGTAGTCAGTGGTTTCTTGCTGTATGGAATTGGTATTCTAAAAACTCCCAGTATAGAAAAGAAACCTCATGACACCATGTCAGCAAGATAACTAATAATGTTTATGGAAGAGCTATTTCTCTGTGAATGGCTAATTTATACACATTTTGTTTAAAACTGGTTAGTGTTTCTAGATAAAATGAGGGCCATACTGAATCCGTTCATAGTTTATACTTGTCAGTTAGATGCTTAGGAGGCCTGAAAGCATGACATGATAGCCATTCTGTCACTGTTCCCAAAGAAATAGTACAATAGGAAAATAATTGCCAATGTAATATACAGAATACAGAATAACAGAGTTGGAAAGAACCTTGAAGGTTTTCTAGTTCAACATGCTGCTCAAGCAGGAGAGCCTATACAATTCCAGACAAATGGCTATCCAATCTTTCCTTTAAAATCTCTAGTGATGGAGCACTATATCTTTATGATTGACAGCCATTGATGGCATTATAAATTATATTCAGCCTCCTTGGAAACCATTGCTACCTTTTAGGAGAGTACACTCCACTGTATGAACCACATCCATGAACACATAGAACGCATCCATGAACATTAGCTAGCAGTCAGAAGACATTATGAAAACTCTTTAATTTCATAACATATGGACAGAGTTAACTATAGTTTCAGTTAGGAAACTGTAACTATCCTAGATCAAGCCAAGTCCAAAAACACTAGGGAATTTTTAGAAGCCTGACATTTTGACAAATTAGCCAACAATACACACATAGACATAAACAATATGTATATAGTGTGCAAAAGAGATAATCAACAAGCCAAAAAGGGAACAAAACCAACATATTTTTCTACCAGCAATCAGCACCCAGATGAGCATAGATTAAGTCCAAGATTAACATCAGACCAACAATGAGGAAATAAGCAGGGGTGGGATTCAAATTTTTTAACAACTGGTTCTGTGGGTGTGGCTTGGTGACTGGATGGACATGGCTTGGTGGTCATGTGACTGGCTGGACGTGGCCAACTCAATATCACTCACATCGAAGCACGCCTCTCCTCGCCTGGCCTCTCATGACTGTGGGGATGCTGCAACAGTCGTAAGTGTGAAAAATGGTCACAAGTCACTTTTTTCAGTGCCATTGTAACTTTGAATGGTTACTCCACACAAGCAAAGTACCAGCAAAGGAGGGAAAAAAACTCCAGAGATGTTCCTGAGACAGGAAGTCTAGTCCTGCCAAGAATGTAATAAGAGTTAATGGAGAGGCAGTTTCTGTAAGCAACACCAGAATGTTTCCTTCCTGCCTTCCTTACAGGGTTAGGCCAGTAATTTCTTCTAACAACCGGTTCTCCGAACTGCTTAGAATGTTAACAACCGGTTCTAGTGAATAGGTGCGAACTGGTAGAATCCCACCCCTGGAAATAAGCAATACCCCAATCAAGGAACTACCAAACAAGCTAGTGGTAAACAGCCCAACCAAAGAACCCCCAAGACTATTCCCACCACACGGACAGGGCAAGCTACAAGAGAGCAAACCCCATTCCTTACTAGCACTGATGATGTTACCTAGTTTGAGTAATAAAATGTCTGCAAGAAAACAGCCAAGCTCAGAGAGCACCAAGGACCAGTCATAGTCCACTGTTATGCTATTAATGTATATAATACTTTGAATAAAGAAATCTATCATTTTGACTCAGCTGCAATATAAGAAAAATGTTCTAAGTGGATGTCAAGCTTTCCAGATCATCAAGAAAAATGAACTGAAGATACACTGGCTATAAAATAGGAAATCTCTACCTCCTAATTACAATATTCCTTTATTACATATTTTGACTCTGTAAAAATACAAATGTGTCCCATTTCACTGAAGATCCTACAGTTTGATTGATTCTGGCACATTTAGAGAGCAGATGCTTAACTGCGGTTATCTGCCAAGAAAACTCTGGGACTTCAACAATAGAATGGAAGCATTAGGATAATTTCAGCCTTGAAATGTTCCTATATCAAATCTTGATATCTAGGTGTCAGAAATGGATATTTAACTTAACCATTTTGATAAATTAACCATCTGCATATATATGAATAGCAAAATTATATGAGGAATTGTATTTATTATGAAGATTTGTATTGGCTTTGTACAATATGATGTGGAATGAATTATATAAAAAATAATTACAGCAGAAATCCCCTTTATGCATGCTTGCCATGAGGAGCTTTCCAGGAGGTCTTCTTCTTGACATAATAAACAATCTATTAATTAAAATAGGAGTATTTAGAAGTCTCAGTCACATAGGAGGATGCATGCTGGATGAAACTAAAGGTCTGTCTAACCTTTCATCTTGGTGCCACTGTAGCCAGTCATATGGCTGTAATCCTATGGGGAGCTTACAATAGAATGAGATGAAATAGCAACTTGCATTTCCTCACAGTTGGCACTGAAAGTCATACAGCACTGCAACTTGTGATTGCAGATTCCATACATGCACTTTCTATATACTATGTATTGTTTTATACATTTCTATTATGCAAACTATAACTCTCTACCAGACTAAGTGCGCTAACCATTGAAATGATGGAACAGGATCCGCGCTGAGGCTTTGGGATGGAGTGATGATGGCAGTAATTGAGTTCTGAATGGTATAGGAAATGGCTTTCCCCAGACTTTTCCTTGAGATGTATTTCCCATAATTTTATACCCAACTATATCTCAAGGGCAATCTGTTAGGAAAGGATTTATAAAGCACTAATAATAGTGGAGAGTGTGTCGGGATTTGAATTCTGTTACAAGCAACCTTTGATATGTGTGCAAAGTCTGAGAGCAAGCCCCAAAATCATCTTCAGAAGCCACTTCAGATGCCTTCCCATACTTAGGTGTGTTGAGTGACTACCTGAGAGTGGATCATCCATCACACATACACACAGACCCAACTTTGAAATACTTTCTTTACCAATATGCATTTGCCCAATTTTCATCTTTTTTGTACTAGGCAAAATTATCTTTATTCTACCAAGCCATTTAATAATTAATATATTGCAGTTATTTTACTATTGAATGTGTTGCTTTTTTTATATATTTTACACAACCCTTTTTCAAAATTTTGACATGCTGTTTTTAATTGTGTGATATAGTTTTTATTATAAATCTATATAAATATATTTATTATATTTTATTAAACAAACAGTAGTGTACAATTAATTTACAGAAATAAATAAGTGATTGCAAAGCCTAAAAAAAACCCCAAACAAACAAACAAACAAAAAACCCAGAGGAATAAACAGTTCATAATACCTAGGCACCAACTGAAAAAATAATTCAAAAATTCCCTAGCCTTGGAAGAAATTAGAGAGAAATTCCAAAGCTCTTCCAAATGATCATTCCTTAGATTCTACAAGGGATTTAGTAGGTTTACAATAATTTGCATTTTTTTCCTTCCTTCAAATAATTGTTAACTTCTGCTGACTGCCTTATGTAATCTCTGCAGTTTTGGAAGCAACATTTTTCTTTTCTTTTTTGTTCCAATAAATTTTTATTATTTTCTACCAGTACAAATCTTAGTTAGTTTTTCAACAGTATTGACATCCACATATAATATTATCTTATACTTTAACATCTATTCGTACCTATCTTAATCTATCTTATCTTTCTTTATCATTAATCATCAATACATATTGCCTTTATATTACACTTATTATTATACATCTTTAATATTGTCTTATTCTTTTAACATCTATTCATACCTATCCTTAATACATATATTATACTTATTATTGTACATCTTTGATCCTTCTGTCTATCCTATTGTGTATCACTTTCTTGAGAATTCTTGTTTAATCATCTTTTCTAATTCTTACCTCTCTTTTTCTAGCCACATGTACCCTCTATGCCAAATCGAGTAGTATTCTAATTCTTCTTTCTCTCTCATTTTAACTGTGCGCATGTCCATTTCAGCACAGTCTGCTATTTTTTGTATAATTAACTCTTCAGTTGGAATCCTCTGCTCTTTCCATACTTGCACGTAAGCTATTCTGGCCGCTGTCAATATGTGTAAAATTAAATATTTTACCTTTTTTGGATATTATTTTTGAATAATCCCAAGTGAATAGATTTCCAGTTTGAATTCAATTTGGCATCCAATAATTTCTTGTGTTCAATTCCTAATTTTATTCCAATAGGTCCTGGCCTGAGGGCATAGCCACCACATGTGATAGTAGGTACCATCAACTTGTTGGCATTTCCAACATCTTGGATTGGCGTTCGAATATATCTTGGCTAATCTTGTCGGGGCTAAGTGCCACCAATAGAACATTTTATATCAATTTTCCTTGTATGTTGCGGCCGTTGTTAATTTATACTCCATAATTTTTCCCACTCATCTAAATTTATATTATAACCGAAATTCTGTGCCCATTCTATCATCGTATTTTTTACTCTTTCTTCTTCCATTCTAAAATCTAGCAATTATCTATAAGCTTTGGATATAAATTTTTGCTCTGGTCCAATTAATATCTTATCCAATTGATTTTGTTCCATATCAAAATCAAATTCTTCTGAATCTGTTTTGTATCTGTTTTGAATTTGGAGATATGGCCACCAATCAATTGTAATTCCTTGTTCTTTTAATTCATGGTTTGATTTTAGTCTCCCTTGGGCATCTAATAGATCCTTGTATTTTATCATTTTGCCTAAATCCAGTCTGTTAGGATGTATCATGGCCTCCATGGTTGACAACCATGAAGCAACATTTTTCATTGCCCTTTTCTTAAGAGCCGAAAGAGATGGACTAGCCCAAAATCACCTACCTGACTTGGTGCTTAAGGTAAAATTAGAACTCCCAGTCTCCTAGTTTCTAGCTTATTGCCTTAACCACTAGACCAGTGATGGCTAACCATTTCATCGTCACATGCCAAAAGTGCGCACACGCATTTGTGCACCCATAATGCAATGCATGCGCGATCCCCCGCCCCTGGTGCATGCGCCCCCTGTGACCCCAGTGTGCGCACAGCATGCCTCTGCACACATGCATGTGACCCCCTGCACTGCACGTCTCTGCATGCGCACATGACCCTTGTGCACACCCTACCCCCTGTGCATGTATGCGCATCTCCCACACATGCATCTCCCCCCGCACATGCGCGGAAGATACCTGACAATCAGCTGGCTGGTGGGGGTGCACATGCATGCGCAGTGGATCAGTTCCAGGCGATGGCTCGCATGCCGGCAGAAATGGCTCTGCATGCCACTTACGGCACATGTGCCATAGGTGACATCATGGCACTAGACCATACTGGCTCTGTTCACTAAAATGAGCTAGCACTGTTTTATTTCAGTGGATTGGTGGTGTGGTGGTTATGTGATTTGCTTAATTTTCTTGCTAGAATCTTGATTACTAGACGAAGCCTTGAACTATAATACGGGCCTTGGGTTTCACAGACCAGGAAAAGCTATCATTCTACAGGCTTCATTGTAATCTTCAGAATGAATATCATTTTATCCTACCTCAGAAAAAATATGGCAAAGATAAATCTTACTGAGCAGTTGAATCACCTTAAAAATGATATTGGAAAAAACCTTCAGTATAAGTCACTTCAGTATAAGTCATTTTGTGACTTATAAGTCACTTTCACAGGGGAACTTATATTTATTATAAGAAATCATCTTTCCATTCTGGTTATCTTTGCTGGTTCATTGTCATTTTTGCCCAATTGTCTTCGGTTCAGAAAAATTATTTTGTTTTGTTGAGATGACTTAATAGCCTCAGGCCTGCCTTTATTCATACTTTATTTCAAACATTTCTCTCCTCTTTTTCAGTATAAAATAATCACCTATGCATGTACTGTACCTTCATGATTAGACTTTTCATTTTTTCTTGTTGGTGTGCACTTGACATTTTTTTTTCTTGTTAGTCTTTGCATGTTGCATGTTTTGTGAACTTAAGTGTTTTTTAAACATTTAAGTCAGTAATTAATTTGTGATTAAAAAGCAAATCTCTGACTACTTCATCATTACTAGAATTTGATAGGAATAGCAGAGTATTCAGCCCAAAGGTCAAAGGCATTTTAGATTCATAATAATCAGGTCTTTATACTTGACTGGTTGACATTTCTAATGTTCTTTCTCATTAATATTTAAGAACTTGCTAGTTAGAAAACTGACTCATCTGTAGAAGGTGGAACCATAACCGAAGGGCACATATTTATTATACAAAGAACTCCCCCCCAAGAACAAACATCCAGTGTCTTCAACCATAAGGATTAGGTAACAAGAAATGTGAAAATCTCTGCCAAAAAAAGCGGGCAATCTAGTGCTAGTCAATTTAAAGTAGTTGGGCTATATGGAAAAGTCTGACTTGGTATAAGACTGTTTCCTGTTTCTCACACAGACACAGACACTTTATACACACACACACACTATTTACAGTTTACAGTTTTTAGTAAATAATGTAAAACACAAAAATACAAAAATAAATAGTAGGAAAATAGGCAACGGGAAGGGAGAAGTATAGAAAAGAAGGGGAGGGGAAGTCATTGACTTCCAACTCCCTTTGGTGCAGTAGAATAAGACAGCAACATCAAGCCTCAACTTTTTACTTTTACATAATAGTATAAACTAGCCATTTCTATATCAACAAATCTATGTAATTGGTAAAACCCAAAATCAAAGTTTCATTTTCTTCCACCTCAAGCACAAAGTCCAGAAATAGTTTCCAAGTAGAAACAAAAGTACTTTCGTTTTTTTTCTTTGATCAAAGTTTCCTGTGTTTCCAAACATTCATTTCCTAGTTGGTTGACAGAAAGTTGTGTCTTTGGTTATGTATAGTTGGCATTTTTATTATTAAAATAGCTCTGCAGCCAATTCTCCCCAATGAAACCCAATGGGGACTGAAGTTCTCTCTCTATCCACAGAACAGATACAGCATGGGAAGAGACCGTGCAATGTCTCAGTTTGCCTAAATCCTGACCTAGAGGGACAACCATTAAGAATAAGAGGTTAGTTCCGGATCTATTCAGCTGTGATTTTGCTGTGAAGATTTAACAACTAAGGTTCCTAGTTAACACAAATTGAAATTGTGGTCTTGATATTTTGTGAACTGAACAATTTATTTACTTTGCATGGTTTTTGTAGCTGAAACTGGAGGAATTGATAATTAAGTAAATCTCAGTATTCTGTTACAATGATTGCTAACAAAATATATTGCTTCTCTTAAAAAAAATAGGAAATTGAATTGCTTCCATTCTTGAAACATAGAACTATTCTAACTTCTGTAAAGGGTTTTGAAGAGTTTTTATTTCATTATTCATCAGTCTAAGTGTACAGAATGTGTACTCTTTTGAAATGGTTGCCTTTCCATCCCAGTTATGCAGGCTGCAGTCTTCATGCATTAACTGTTTTCTGCTTGAATGCAGTATCTAGTCACATCATGTCTTGGCAAATATTCAGAGCAATGTCACAAAGAAATAATTTCGGCAAGACAAGATTATATACATCAATATGACTTTCAGAATGGATGGTTACTGTTATTAAAGCAGTCTGAACATCAAGAATCTATTGTGAAGCTCAGAAAGACCATTGACAGCTTCTTATGGAGAATATGTTTATGAACAAGAAATATTTTGTCTAAATCAGTCATTGATTGAAATTCTTATTTTGTCCATTTTAGCAACACACATGAATATATGATTTCAGATTATTGTAATATAGTAGTAAACGGGGAGAATTAGCAATTTTGTTTGTATAATAGGGCATATAAAATTATGCCAGTATAATTACCATTGATTATGGGTTGTGTAGATATGTTCACATTCCTTACTTCTTCAAACATTAAATGTGCAAATTTCGGGATAACTTTTTAAAATCTCATTTAAAACAAGAAAAAGGAAAAGGGAAAAAAAAAAGATCTGATTTTCTCCATAGGATTATATTGGTCAGCTTGTTCTTGGTTTCTTAAAGCATTCTGCCAGTATAATAATGACCTATTTGTAATTGCATTTTTTCCCTTATGCTTCTAAGCACTCTACGTACAAATGATGAATTTACTTTCATAGATCTCTGCCAAGCAATACTAAGATTAATTTCAACTCCTGAGATTTAATGAAAATCTTTTGCCATTTCTTGATGAACAAACTTTTTGGTCCTTGCTGTTTCTTTAAAGTGAAAAATGTTTCAGGTCAACATCATGTGGAAAACTGATTGTTCAATCAAAACAAGTTGCAAATAAAAACTGCTACATCCTCTTGATTGTTTGCTTTGTGGTTTTTAGGATAGGTAAATAAATAAATCTTTAAACAGTTGCCTTAAATTATAAGGCTTCTCCTCAGCAGAGCAATTGTTTAAATTCTGAAAGTTCACTTTAAAAGCATTGTAGCTTTTTATATTTAATCAAATGAGAAAAAAATAGATAATTTTGATTTATCATGAAGTTCTTCTCTCCCTTTTTCTTGCATGTTCTCCCTCTTTCTACAGGTGCCACAAAATCAAGCTTGCTGTCAGCACCTAGCATTGTTAGTATGTTTGTTCCAGCACCAGAAGATTTTATTGATGATCAGCCTACCATGATGACAGACAAGTAAATATTTTCATATTTCTTCTAGTTTTTGCCATTTAAGACCAACGATAAGCTTAAAGGGCTGATTTATTAATGACAATGACAACAGCAGCAAAATAATAATAATAATAATATTTTGTCATTGAAGTGAAACCAGAATAATTATCTGGATATTTTGTTAATGCTTTACACTAAGAAAAATTAAAATGGCAGCGCAGAAAAACTTTTGGTTCTTCAAGATACAGAGATAGAATGTAGATAAGGAACTATTCGTATTTACACTATTGGATTTTCAGAATATTTATTTTTATCGGAGAAGTGGGCAAAAATAACAAATGGTATAAAAAACACTGCTAGAAATACAGTATAAAAATACTGTCCAGTATGAGTGTAAGGTGTTTTTCTGTTGTAGGGGTTTAAGCTCTCTTCCCTGCTGAAAGCCAAAAAAGAAGAGAGGGGTGGAAATGAAAATTGTATGATAGTCCTAAATTTTCAGCCATTAGGTTAAAGTAAACATATTATACCAAATAAAAGAAAAAGTTAAGCAATTGATAGGGAAATTATAAACCTAAGATTCTTTCCAGTCATCTACATCTTTCGCTATTTTGATCAATGCATTTATAGAATGCTACCCACAAACATCACTTCCAAAACCTTTGTTTATAATATGTTCTCTACTATTTTTCATTTTAATATCAATCTCAGCATGGTTTACATTGAGATAAACACTAACAAAATGCTAAAATCCATGTAATTAATAACATAATCAACAATGAGGAATATATTGTAGCTCAAAATTAAATAGACAGGGAAATCAAAGAAGTGCTCGGAGAAACAAATTCATTTTTAAATGAAAGAAAAAACACTCCATACTCTGTGTGTGTGTGTGTCTGTGTCTGTTTGTGTATGTGTAGTTTCCTTCTGACACCTATGGTGAATATGTCTTCCTCAATTATGGGTCCTCCACCAGAAGATTGGGAATTTGAGGGTTATGCATGGTATCCTAACTATTCTTAGCACTGCACAGTTCTGGAGAGTTGCAGTGCAGAGGTGGTATTCAGCAGGTTCTGACCAGTTCTGGAGAACTGGTAGCGGAAATTTTGAGTAGTTCGGAGAACTGGCAAATGCCACCTCTGACTGGAGATTTTACAGTATGCTTCCCCTGCCATGCCCACCAAGCCAAGCCCATAGAACCAGTAGTAAAAAAATTTGAATCCCAACACTGCTGCAGTGTTGTTCCTAGAGTTTGTTGGAGTCACTTCCCCAGCTTAGGAATCACAGCCCCGAGTGCTCCTATCACCATTGTGGCCATTTTGGCCTTTACTTTCCACAGCTGGATAGCACCTAGAAATCTGATGATAGATGGGGGGGTTGATGATAAGCAGAGGCTGTTGAGTTATTTCATGCCTATCAGCTTCCTTGATTATTTTTAATAGAAAGATAAGACAGAATTTCTAAAATGAAAAAAAAAATATTGATTATCATTCCAGATAGATTTAAACAAAATGCTTCATTATCTCATTTTATGCACCTCTAAATACAAGAAGAAAATATTTAATAATCAAGGTTACCTGACTGCATAATTTGTTGGTGGAACAGCAGTGAAAGGGGGTGCATCATTGATAAATGAGAAATATCCTGTAAGGTTAATTTATTTCAGGCAGTCGTTCTGGTTGTTTTCTAAAAGCTTTGGCAGCAGGTAGTAAACCAGGCTAAATGAGATTGATTTTCATGACCTTGTTGGCATTTTCTCCTGCTGTTGTGGAAAAGGAAAATTGTCTGTACAATCCTATTAAGTTCAAACATCACAATCTGTTGGAGACATTAGTGAGTGGTTGATCAAATTAACCAAACATCCCCATTGGGCCAAGAATGTACCAGTTTTCCAAGTCTTTTTATACAGTCAGTAATATTCTGCCTCATCTCATCTGCATTAGACAAGTCCCTTAAGATCAGACATTATAGAACCTTGGCAGAAATTTGAAAGTAATCTCTTGGCAGTACATGAGTTACATCCCATTCAGTTGGAAGGAATCAAAAACAAACTTCTTATTGTTACAAAATTAACTTGTCTCCTTCCTTGCAACCCATAATTCCCTCACTTGGGGAATAATCGCTGCAGCAATGTAATGTGATTTTTATATAGTAATATTGCATTTTGTCCTCTAATTTTCTTACAGATGCCATGACTGCGGAGCCATCCTGGAGGAGTATGATGAAGAAACACTGGGTCTGGCTGTAGTAGTTCTCTCCACATTCATTCATCTCAGCCCAGATTTGGCTGCTCCTTTGTTGCTGGATATTATGCAATCTGTAGGAAGGTATAAACTTTCATTTTTCTTCTCATGTCTTCCTTCCTTCTACAGATTAATGGTTTACAAATAAAAAGTGAATTCAGCATTGTTTCATATTTCTAATGCATCTACTATTTGAGCAACCCTAAATGAAATGGAATGGAATGAACCCTGAAAGCATGAAAGTTGCTTTAAGAGATAGTAGATCTATCTGAAGCTCCCTAATCCAGCTCCTTCCCTTGAGCCACCCAGCTGATTGATACCAAGGAGAAGGCTGAATTGATATTACACTGTCGTATCATCTAAGCTTTTTCCATATCTACCATTTTCTGTGTGAAGGAGAGCATAGAAAAACCATCATGATATTTGATAAGCACCTTTTTAAATGAGCTATCTGACTTAGCCAATTGCTGCCCAGACTTTCCTGGACAGGGAAAAATTGTTCCAGGATAACCAGGCAGTATATGTGCTTTAACCAAAGGGCAAATAAAAAACTGATACCTTTGAGAAAAGAGGAGCAGCAAAGGAAGGTGCCTCATATTAGATCTCACAATTTAGATTCCTGTTGCCTACATTAGTATCCCCAAATTACCATTCTAGTGAATCTTCCAGCTTTAACTGAAAATACTGTTAACGTAAGTGGGATCTCTGGCGTACAAACTATACACCCTTCTCTGTTCTTATGATAAGGAGAAGTAGATTTATCAGAGAGTGCTCCAATACAGCCCTTTTACAAAACCATTGTGGCAGCTTTTTTCTAACAAAAGACTGTTGAGCTAAGTCATCTTAGCTCAATTTTTATTTGATTGCATAATCAATTCCAACTGTTTTATTGAAAAAAATGACATGTTTATTTAATTCTCTCCCTTCCCATCCCCTGGCCTTTCCCCCCCTCATAGGTTGGCTTCAAGTACCAATTTCTCTAATCAAGCAGAAAGGTACAGTATATCTTTTTTTTTTTTTTTGCAACAGGCCTACAGAACAAACAAAAGTATAAACATTTTTGTGAATATTTGATTTTGAACCAAAACAGAACAGTGATATTAGATGCATAATATAGCCCCTGTTTGATAGAGATGGGTTGTTTAGAAATATGAAAAATAAATAAATAATTTTGGATCAAAGCACTGCACTATACAGTAAATCTAATCTTTCCATAAACTAGTACAGAAATAGGGAGCTATCTAGAAAAATATGGGGAACTCCTGAATATCTTTCATACATTTCATTAAGGAGCTACATAACACGATGTCTTTTGTTAGATAACATCTGGAGTTTCAGATCATGTAGGAGAAATCCATAACTCAGTTCCACCCATGTCTATATTTAGCATGTGATAATTCTGCCATGAGAAGTAATCATGTTATGGATTTATTTCTGGTAATTTGGAGTTTCTGATATTAACTGAGTGGCACAGAAAGGAGCCATTCCACAGTAATTGCACATCATAAGTGTAATAGGATAAGATACTCGTAGAGAAAGGAAAAAGTCACATGGGTACCAATATTTCTTGATTTGATTATTCACTGTTTGATGATATCTCTTACCACATAGAGTACAAATTCAATATAGTGCTGCATTTTGTAGTGATATAAAACATATGACAGAAAATTATAAGTATTAGATCACACCTGTGCTGTTCTGCTTATAGGATGACATCTGATATGACCTACCTATATGATATCCCACTTATGTGTTTAATCAACACAGAACTGGGATTGAGAGAGGAAGAACAAATATGCATGCCTGACCTTTCCACTTCCTGGGCCAGAAAGCCTTTTCTATTTATTTAGGCAAACCACATGATTCAGAACCCCCAAAAACCACAAATCTATGTTTGTGTGACATCCAAGGCATTCTGGCACTGTATGAAAGGGTTATTTTACACTTCTATGTATAGATTAAAAATAATTTTGTTTGATGGAAACATCTTCACACTGGTGGATGTAATGGCTACCATTTAGAGCGAATAACAATAGTTTTATATTAGATCTTTCAAAGGATTGTTTTATTTTTCCTAGTTCTTATTTCTTTCATGCCGTAAAGTACAAATAATCTGATTCTTAATGAATGCTCACCTGTGTTCTTGTTGGTTCCTTCACAATGAAATATTTTAGTAAGATCACAGTATTTTTCTCCTTCTTTCTTTCTTCCTTTACTTTAATCTACCCAACACCCCAACAGTATGATGATTCCGGGAAATGCTGCAGGTGTGGCAAAGCAGTTTCTGCGTTGCATTTTCCATCAGCTTGCTCCCAATGGTATATTTCCACAGCTGTTTCAGAGCAACATCAAGGGTAATATTCTGTGCTTATAATTTATTTGTGAGACTGCATTATGTTCACATGAAATCCCACTAAAACAATTGTCATTTACAGATGGAAGCTTTTTACGAACCTTGGCCACGTCTCTTATGGATTTCAGTGAGCTGAGTTCTATAGCTGCATTGAGCCAACTCTTAGAGGTCAGTCTATTCTAAAATAATATAAAGAGGTTCATATATTATTTTCCCATCAGATGTGTTGCACAAGTGGTTCATTTTCTACCCTTATACAATATTTTCCATTCTAAAGTTTGCTTGTACTGCAGCAAGCTGAAGCCATTTATTCAATTGTGTAACATAGGAGTGGGCATTCTGTTGCCCTAAGGCTGAATCTAGCCCTTAGTTTAATTTCCAAACCCTTTTGCAAAAAGAACTATTCAGATTGCTGGCTAGAGAAATCTGTTTCTTTATCAGCAGACATCTGGTCAGGGAGGAAGAAGAATGAGAAAGGAAAGCCAACAACCTCAGATTGCAATTATTGCAAAATTGCAATTACTTTGAGATATGGGGATTGGACTGAAAAAAAAGTTGCCCATGTTGTGATGGAATAAACACATTTTTTTTCACTCTTGAAAGTAGTCATTCATGTCCACCTGATAATAGAACAAACTCTAAAGGAACATCCTATCACATATATGCAACTCTTACACTGCAAAAACATATGGACTACACAATTCGATCAGGGCAAAGCAATGGATGCAATCTACATAGACTTCTGTAAAGCCTTTGATTCAGTGGTACACGACAAACTACTCCTAAAACTAAAATCTTACTGTATCTCTGGACACCTGCATAACTGGATAGAAGCATTCCTGTCAAACAGACAACAAATGGTCAACACTGGGAGCGTCCTATCAAATTCTGTACCTGTCAACAGTGGTGTCCCCCAAGGCGGTGTTCTAGGAACAACTCTTTTCATACTCTACATAAATGATCTCTGTGATCATATTAAGAGCAACTGCGTTCTCTTCACTGATGATGTAAAGCTATTCAACACCACAGACAATACTGCTACCCTTCAAAAAGACCTTGACTATGTATCAGAATGGTCAAACAAATGGCAACTTCAAATCTCAACAAATAAATGCTCTGTCCTACATATTGGCAAAAAAAAATCAGAAAATAAAATACAGGCTGAATAGTCAAGACCTTGTTGATGATCCAAACTCTGTCAAGGATCTTGGAGTACTCATCTCTAATGATCTAAGTGCTAGAGCCCACTGTAACTACATAGCCAAAAAGGCGTTAAGAGTTGTTAACCTAATCCTACGTAGCTTTTTCTCTGGTAATATTACACTACTAACTAGAGCATACAAAACATTTGCTAGACCAATACTTGAATACAGCTCATCAGTCTGGAACCCACATTACGTATCTGATATTAACACAGTTGAGAAAGTCCAGAAATATTTCACAAGAGTTCTCCACTCTTCTACTTGTTGCAGAATACCTTATGCCACCAGACTCGAAAACCTAGAACTACGCTGCCTTCAGTCTGATCTAAGTATAGTATATAAAATCATACGTTGCAATGTCCTACATGTCTATGAATACTTCAGCTTCAACCATAACAATACAAGAGCAAACAATAGATACAAACTCAAGGTTAATCGCACCAAACTTGATTGCAGGAAATACGACTTCAGCAACAGAGTGATCAATGTTTGGAATACTCTACCTGACTCTGTGGTTTCTTCCCCAAACCCCAAAAACTTTAACCTTACACTGTCTACTATTGACCTCACCCCCTTCCTAAGAGGTCTGTAGGGGGCGTGCAGAAGCGCATCAACGTGCCTACCGTCCCTGCCCTATTGTTTCTTTTATTTTTTTTATATCCATGTATTCATAACTATGTTTTTACTTATACATATTGTAAGCAATTGACAAAAATAAACAAACAAACAAACAAACAAACATTGTTCCTTTTCACTTCGACAGATGATTGCAAAATGCCAAGGCTAGGAAGGGAAAGGAAGTGAAAGTAGTTCATTGTAGCATGTAGATCATACTGCAATCGTATATAGATTTTTTGAATAAAGCCCCTTGAAACCAACAGGGCTTCAGGTTCCTGAAATGAATCCCATTCAAATGCAACCCCATCCAGAACTAAATATGAAAAGCCTCCAGATCTAAAGAGACCTATAACTCATAGTTTCTGTCTTGCTGGGTTGAATTGAAGCCTGTTCTCTCATCAAAATTCCATAGCCTTTAGCTGTGATATCGATTGCTTGGTTGAGCCATGGTAGTGATGTATCTCTTCAGTATATTGATGATATTTAACATAAGTGTAGAGGCCCAAGGAAACCTGCAAAGCAAGGCTTCAGGCCAGATACCTCCCTCCCACCAACACCAAATGAAACTGGCTTTGGAGGAAGGAGGTGAACATTGTGCCTCCCCCACTCTTAAACCCCAAACCCAGTCCATCTTAAACCCCAAACCCAGTCCAGAAGGATACAGTGATCAATGTTATCAAAGGGCATTGAGTGAACATGAAAAATTTCTTTCTCTACACAGGCACGTTAAAATCTTTTTCTGCTCTTTTTCTTCTTAAGAGATTTAACATACACTGTTACCCGTGAAGCAAAAAGACTGCCTATTGTAGCAGATTTCTGAGGAAAAAATGTGAAGTGCTTAGATATATACATATTTTAAACAAAATGAAAATACCTTTCTGTTTATCTTTTGCTTGAATGGCTTACTTGTTTTCTCAGGGTTTAAACAACAAAAAGAATTTGCCAGCAGGAGGTGGAATGTTACGCTGCTTGGAAAACATTGCTACATATATGGAAGCTTTGCCAATGGATTCCCCAAGCAATCTTTGGACTACAATCAGCAACCAGTTTCAAACTTTCTTTACCAAATTACCATGTGTTTTGCCCCTTAAGGTAGAGTTTATATTATCTAATTTCATTCTGGTATATTCTGGAAGAGGCTTGTGTCTGAAATTCTTGAGAGGCAAACACTGCATCCAGTCACTGTAAACAACACCAGACATATAAATCTGATATCTATTAACTTCTATTTTACCCTGTGCTACATATATTTTGATTTATGTGTATGTATTTTGGTCAAATGTTTACTTTTCATGTTTGGGTGGGTGGGTGGGGTGGGGATTAAATGGAGGTAAAAAATGAGACGGGTGTGCCGTTCCTCATTGGGCACCATAATTTTTTCTTGGATTTTTTTTTGGGGGGGGTGGTGCAAAGATAGGAAATAATGGCTGCAAAGGTGGGTCTGTTCATTTGCTCTGGTAGATGCCATTAATAAGGCAGTTTCAATGCATATGTTGGCACTAAGGATTCTGCCCACCTTTTGGCATCAGTGACTGTGGAGCAAGCCAGGCACAATGTTGAACATACGTTCTTGTCTAAGGATGTGTACTGGCCAGTGATGCCAGGTTAATGAGCTGTCCCTGTCCCTAGGAGGCATATCATTACCTTGTTGGTGTCTGATCTGTATCTATGCCTTCCCAGTATCATAGTTTACCTGCTATCAGCAAAAATCAAAGTGTAGGCACCTTTGAAAGACCTACATTGCTTTCAGAGAAGGTGACCAAGCACTATTTGCCCAGTCTGCTCCAACTCTATAGCTTTGCACCATTGGTCTATGAAATTTTCTGTAATGTTTCTCACATTCTTTCAAGCATTTCTTTCATATATGAGAGCTAGGAACTTAGTTTCCCTCTCTCTCTCTTTTTTTTAAAAATTAAGATATAGGGTTTTTTGGAAACCAGGAATTATATTGAATTCCCCATTCTGTGTTTATTGATTGTGCAGCTCTGCTTTTCTTTGATAAATCTGACATTCCTAAATACTGAATGAACATGTGAAGAATAGCTTGTAATTCCTCTGTGTCCTTCTTTGCCCGAAGTGTCCACTGGATTCCAGTGTAAGGATAATGATCTGTTTGCTGAAGATTCCCACCAGTAGTGCTGCCAGGGTAAGTTAAAAGGGACACAGTGGGAAGCTAAATAGCTATTCTAATACTAATGCAGCAATATTTGTTTTTATTTAAAAAGATGTTGTGTTGAGTATCTGTATTTACTCTCTATGTCAGCTTTTTACATTTTACAGTTCTCCTGGATAAAGGGAATAACTGAAGCATAAAATAGAATTCGTTCAGGTGTCCTGTTTGTTATTTCCATTTATATGACCACCCATCTCTCAGCAATGATTCTAGGCAGCTACCTTAATAGTAAAATTTAATATGTCCTAATTATAATTTTTTAAAAAATCTGCCTATGCCAGGTCCTTGGGAAGGATTCAATAGGTCGATAAAAATGCCAAATCTAGCATATACAGCTGGCTGACTGCACAACCAGCTATAATAATAGTATAATGTCAGTCAACAACACAACAATTCCCATAAATAAGCATCTACCTTGTGGATCAAATCAATAGTAGCTATGCTATGGCTGTCACTTTTTAAAAAGATTTTTATCCTGCCTTTTTTCCCCATATACAACCCAAGGTGTTGCACATACCTAATATTCCTTCTTCCTCCTATTTTTCCCTATAACAACTCTGTGAGGTGAATTCGACTGAGAGAGAATGACTGAATGAAGCCATCCAGCCAGTTTTTTATGCTTCGTTCCGTAAACTGAGATAAAACTCCAGGAGAACTCCCAAACTGTATTAACAGTTTATATGATATAGTGCTATCCCATCCAGAACTAAAGATCAAATCATTGTATCCAGGAAGGCCTAAAATCCACAGCCACCTAGTTTTGCTGAAGTTGGCCTGAAGCCTATTGTTGCCTCTCAAGAATCTCCAGACTCTGAGAAAATATCCGAACAACATCACTTGTAAGCTCAGATAGGGGTGTATAAATAAGTATCATTAGCATACTGATGAGACTTCACCCCCTGCCAAAGATGAACCTGGTTTCTTCATGTAGATGTTAAACAAGAGCAGGAGATATTAAAACCCTGAGGAACTTTTCAGAAAAGAGGCTTTGGATTAGATCTTCCCTTCCCTTCCACGCCCACACAACACCAGCTGGAACTGGAACTGGAACTGACCTAGAGGAAGGAGAAGAATCACCATAACATTGTTCCACACTTTCAATCCCCTGAACTGTCCAGAAGAATAGCATTATCTCACCAGGCTCAAGGTTGACTCAGCCTTCCATCCTTCCGAGGTGGGTAAAATGAGGACCCAGATTGTTGGGGGCAACATGTTGACTCTGCAAACTGCTTAGAGAGGGTAGTAAAACACTGGGAAGTGGTATATAAGTCTAAGTGCTATTGCTGTTATGAATGATATTGGAAACCACCAAGGTTTCATTTATTATTATGTGATTGTACATTTGTATCTTCTTATATTTACAATGTTCGTTTGTTTGTTCAATTTATATTGCTGCCTATCTCAGGTTGATGACTCTGGGCAACTAACAATGTTAACAATTATAAAAAACAGAAAAAAAACATGTCTCAAAATGCACATAAAGCAGCAGCCCATAAAAACAGCAGCCAAGATCCATCCATAATAGTTAAGATAGCCAATGCACAGGCTCAACCCCACCCCCTGAAGCCCATGCCCAGTGATGCTTAACTCTCACACCAGATGTATTAGCAGAACAAGGCTCAGTAATCAGCAAATGTAGCCAAACAAAATCTTGAGATTCTGGAGAATTTTAGCACTAATTTATTTATTTATGAAATGTAGACATTACTTCTGTCCATGTGGACTACTGGTGGTTCCCAATAGATGTCTACAACTTGTTGGTGTATGATTGGTGTTGAACTTCCTTTGCTGTGAAGCATTGCGATTGAAATTCTGAGAAGGATCCAGAAGATTCTGATGCCTTTCAGTCTCCAAAAGAGTGGCATAAATTGATCCCTTGGTGCTGTTGCTTGCTCTTCCTTTTTTTTGAAAAAGTTTTTTTATTTTTTAATTGTTTAAATACATCTTTGCAAGAACAGTGTGGTTCCAGGTGTTTTACATTTTAAGCCAGTCATATCCATAGTCACTGATAGAGCTTTCTAACATCACATCATTATCTATTACCAAATTTTCTCATAAATTATTTTATATCAGTCAATCAATCTCTATCTTCCTTGATTGTATACTTATATTCAACAGATTTACAGTTTAATCTATTCATATCATTTCATTAATCATTCAGAGTTTCATCTTAATTTGTATTATCCCCTATTAATCCCCTTTCCAATATTGTTACATATATTTTATTTTCTGTGTATCTCCTCTCTGCCTTCTCATTTTCACACAAGTATATTTTCCATCTTATTTTCTTTAGCCAATAATGTAACAATATATCCTCATTACCTTGTATAAATGGATAACAAAATATTTAATTCATTAAAAACATCTAATCAATCTCTAACTTCCTTAATCATGTATTTCTTATGCTCTTCATGTTTACAATTTAATCTATTCATACCATTCATTGACCATTCAAAATTTCATCTTAATTAATTTATATTATCCCCAATTTATGTCCCCCCCCCCGTATTACATTTGCCACTATTGCATATATTTTATTTTCTATGTATTCCCTTCCCTTTAACATCTCATTTTTACACATATATATTTTCTTGTAGCCAATAGTATCAACATTATAACATTATAACCTTGCTACTTTATATATGTAAATAACAAAATATATAATTCATTATCCTACTGTATAATTATGTCTATTCTCTGTCGGGTTCCACATAGTATTCTTTTTCATATCTTAAATATTAATCACTTTTATCTTCCATAAACATTTATCTGTATTGCTTGGTTAATCTATTATAAATTCTTATTTTCATGTCTATTCAATTTAAATTATTCTTATTCTAGTTCTTAGTACAAACTCCTCAAAATCTATTTTATATATTTTACCGCTAAAATATCCCTTCTTTTCCATTTCTAACCATTATCTCTCTCTTTTATATTAATTCATCGCTTCTTTGCTTGCTTACCATTTTCTGTCATCTTTTGGTTTTTTCCCCTTAATCCTTCCTCTATTCTTAATCAATTTCTGATATTTTTTCTCCCATTTCTCGAAGTTTATCCCCACCCACTTCTGATCTCCTTTCTGTAATTTCCTAGCCATTTCATTTATCAGCATTCCAATCTCAGTATTGCCCCCCCTTATTTATTACATCTATCATAAACATCTCAAATTCAATTTCTTTTTTCTTCTTTTGCACTATTTGTTGTTCTTTTTGTTCCATTTCACTGGTTTCTCTTTCTTCTGGCTCCTGCCCCTTCTTTGTTCTTTCTTCTTCTTCTTCTTCTTCTTCTTCTTCTTCTTCTTCTTCTTCTTCTATCGTCATCATTTCCAGATTTTTCTCTGTATTCTGTATTTTTGTACATAAATCCAACATTCTATCCCACATCTCATTCATGGCTCAAAGTTCCATCTTTATTTCTTTACATAAGTCACTCATCTTTGTATTGCTTATTATTCCAATTGTCCAGTATCCAGTAAATTTTATTTTATTTGAACCAGTGTCTCTTTTTTAATATCAATATTCTCAGATCTTTCTTTCTAGTTAATCAATCCAAGTCACCAATAATTCCAAGGGTAATGTCCTCTTATATTCCTTGCTCTTTAATTATAATATATTTCAGCTTCCAGGGGTCTTACTGTAGTGTCTTTCTTTTATTCCTTTTTAACTTCTTTTTTTGATTAACTAGTTAGTTTGAAGAGATCTGCAGGATTTTTCTTTCATCAGCAAGTGGCACTTTTAGTCCAGTTTCACTGCCATTCTTTTTCCATTTCTTTAAATTAGCTTCACAAATTTTGTTTTAAAAAATCAAATATTATTTCTCTTTTAGAACAATTATTTCCAGCATTCAAATTAATGCCTTTCAATGCCAAATCCTGCCCCATCGCCAATTCCGAATTAGTGTTCTTCCAAATTTATTGCTTTTAAGATTTTAAAAGTTTAAGCTCTTTCCATTTCCCATTTCTTCTTCTCTCTTCCAAGTCGCCGCTAACTCTAACCTTCTCTGTTATAGTCTTTTTGGGGTAGTAAAAAAATAAAACGAATTCTTCTCACCCTTCTCCGAACAACATTCCCAGTCTCCACTCCAGCACTGCGCTTAGATGTTCCTCGGCTGTCCCAACTCTGTAGCGGCCATCTTGGTTGCTCTTCTCTCCATTGTGGCATACAGAGCAAGCTCAGGGTTTCCACAGGGGAGTTGCATTCTCCTCCAGAACCTTACCAGGCGCCTCTCCTTTGCTTCGCCACCCCCACAAGGTGGCTATTGGCTCAGTTCGAAGCCCACAAACAGCGAGAAGCCAGTGCAGGATTGGAGACTTCCGTTCCCTGCTTCTGGTCTCATCGTGATGTCAGCCGGGCTGTTGCTTGCTCTTCCAATGACAGAGGCTAGCAGTCTGGGCCAACTTTCAGCATTTCTCTAGCAACTATCCCAGAGGGAAAGTTCCATTTCCCCCTGAAACATCCTCCAGAAGTTCATTCAAGGTACTGGCTGGGAAATTCCTGAGTATCAGCCATGAGATGAATCAACTTGGACAGCCACAGCCTTGCACCTTCCAAGTGAAAACTAAAAGCTTTGTTAGGGTGGCAAATTTCATAACATGTGCATTGTGCATTTTGCAGAGGCATGGAAATGTTCTGACATAATTATGATTATTGCTATTATTATTACAGAGCCTGCTGGAACCATTTTCAAAATTGCTGAGCTTTGTCATTCAGAATGCCATCTTTACCCTGGCTTATTTGATTGAACTGTGTGGCTTGTGTCACCGAGCTTTCACAAAGGTAATTCAATTGTAGTTATTTTAAAATTCTTTAGGGAGAGATGAAACACTACCTTGTTATGCTTTCCAGCAGAACAGAAATTTAGGCAACTCTCTTTTTATCTTGTAAATGAAAAATGCTATAATCCTCTAGTTAGGATTAGGGTTGTTAAGTTTGAGGCATGGGTTTAATGAACGGAGACCAGACTGTAAACCTTGAACTTCAGCTCTTTATTCTCAAGCATAACAGAGAAAAAAAAAACCCGGCTAGCAGTCACTCTTTTATAGAGTAAGCTGCTATCCGGATAACCAATGGATAGCGTTATAGCGTTTGAATCTTGGCACGGCCCGCCAATAGCCAGTCAGATTGCTCGGAATGAACCAATCATAACTTGCCATTATATGGGCCAATAGAAAGTGCTTACGAAAGGATTACGATCCTGCTATGCAAATGAATCTTTATTAATTACATTTCTTTAGTTCACAACACCCCTCCCCCCTGGGTTCCGTTTGACGGCCGTGGTGATGTAATCACGCAGGTATGCAGGTCGTTTTACCTGCCTATTTGATTTTTGCTGTTCCACCGGTTTTTGTTTAAAGTTCGGTTCCGGTGGAGCGCAAGTCTCGTCTTCGCACGGGGTTGATTCCGCGGTGCTGTTTTCGACACTATCAGGGTCCCTTGAGTCCATTCCTGGATCGGGCGGGCATGTTTCCACTACGGTGTTCCTCTGCGGGGAGGATGCCCCCGATCCCGGACCTTCTTCAGGTGGCGCGAGTACTCGGTTTAGCGGCTGTCTGTCCTCAATTACGTCGTCGTCTATACGGCCTTCGTCCCCCTCGGTATTCCCTCCCCCTTGAGTTTGGAAGTCCGGGGGGTCACGTATATTGGGTTGTAAACGAGATCGAAGTTGATCTATGTGGCGTTTCCATATCTTGCCGTCTGTCGTCTTAAGGTGGTAAGATCTAGGGCCAGTGAGGTAGACTACGGTGGCTGGGACCCACAACGGTTCGCCGGAAAGGTTTTTGGCGTAGACCAAGTCGCCTACCTAGAATTGGCGATACGTTCCGCTGGATCCACAAGGTTTCTCTGGCGAATAAGACGGGTGTAATCGGTCGAGGTGGGAGCGAAGCTTCCGTCCCATTAAAAGTTCGGCTGGAGTCTTGTTGGTGACACTGTGGGGGGTAATGTGTTGTAGTAAGAGTATTTTGTTCAATCTAGCGTCGATGTCCCCAGGATCCATTTTTTGTAGTGTCTTTTTAACGAATTGGACCATCCGTTCCACCCTACCGTTTGCCGCAGGGTGAGCCGGCGAAGTTAAGGCATGGTGGATGCCCCGGTCCGCCAAGTATTGTTCGAAGGTGACAGCAGTAAACTGGGGTCCGTTGTCAGAAACTAGAGCGTCCGGGAAACCGTGTGTTGCAAATAATCTATCTAGTTTTTTAATAACGGAGTCAGTAGTTGTGCTTTTCATCTTGTGGATTCCGAGCCAGTTGGAGTAAGCATCCACGGTTAGGAGAAAAGTGGGTCCTTTAGTGGGTCCCGCGAAATCAATGTGGATGCGGGACCACGGGCCTCAAGGAGTTTCCCATTCGGTGGGAATTGCTCTCGGTGGGGCGTTGCTGACTTCTTGGCAGTTTCTACACGTGGTTACCCAGGCTTCAATTTGTTTATCGATGCCTGGCCACCACGTGTAGCTTCGAGCGAGAGCCTTCATGCGGACGATGCCCGGATGTCCTTCGTGCAGGGTTTGCAACACGAGTCGCTGTAGTCTCTCTGGCACGACGACTCTATCTCCCCATAGGATGCAGCCCTTCTGGGAAAATAGTTCCGTTTGCCGGTGCTTGAACGGTGCAAAAGTGGCGGGGGTTTCTTCGACTGGCCACCCGCATTCGACCCAACTGAGAACGAGGATAGAGTCTCGTTTTGTGCCGGCAGCGATATCTCTTGCCGTTAGTGGCGGCGAGTTGAGGGTTTCAATTTGCAGCGTAGTGAGGGTTGGAGCTGGGTCGCTGACGGTTTCCGGAAGTGGGGAATGGCTCAAAGCGTCAGCGTGGGGAATGGCTTTCCCCGGGCGATGCTGTAGTACATAGTTGTAGGCTGCTAGGAATTCTGACCAGCGAGTCATTCTAGGCGATAATATATGCGGGGTTGGTTTATCACCTGCTAAAATGCCAAGTAAAGGCTTGTGGTCTGTAATTAGAGTAAAGGGCCGCCCGTAAACATATTCGTGAAATCGCTTCACGGCCGATACAATAGCAAGAGCCTCTTTGTCAAGTTGGCTATAGTTCCGTTCAGCCTTCGATAATGTCCGCGAAAAGTACGCAATGGGAGCTTCATGTCCATTTGCTAACACGTGACTCAAAATGGCTCCAACCCCAAATGGTGATGCGTCGCACGTAATATTTAATGGCAAAGTCTCGTTGTACTGCATTAGGTCAGCATCGGATGTTAATAAGTCTTTCACTTTTTGAAAAGAGCGTTCTTCTCGATGTCCCCAGACCCAGGTGGCTTTCTTGTCGAGAAGTCTATGTAGGGGCTCAGCTACGGTCGCCTTCTGGGACAAGAAGATGTTGTAAAAGTTAATAAGTCCCAGGAAAGCCTGGAGATCAGTCTTATTTTTAGGTCTTGGGGCGTTCTTGATTGCCCTGAGTTTGTTTTCGGTAGGGTGAATACCGTGTTTATCGAGGAGGTATCCGAGAAACTCTACCCTTTCAGTGCATAGTTGACATTTATTTTTTTTAACCTTGAGACCGGCATCCTTAAATCTATGTAAAACCAATCTGAGACACCTTTCAAGCTCTTCTCTATTTGGGGCAGCAATTAAAACGTCATCGAAGTATGGTACAACCCCTTTTATTCCCTGTAAAAGTCTCTCCATTAGACTCTGAAATATCCCGGGGCTACACTCACTCCGAACTGGAGTCTGTTGCATTTAAAGGCACCTCGGTGTGTAACGATAGTCTGTGCCTCTGCGGTTACCGCATCAACGGGTAGTTGTTGATACGCTTGCGCTAAGTCTAACTTTGCGAAGATCTTTCCGCCGCCCAGGCAGTGGAGAAGATGTTGAACCACCGGCACCGGATAAGCGCTCTGTTGGAGTGCGTGGTTCAGGGTGGCGCGGTAGTCTCCACAAATTCTGATCGACCCATCCGGTTTGATGGGGGTTACGATTGGGGTTTCCCAACTGGCATGGTCAATAGGCTCCAACACCCCTTGGGCTATTAACTTATCAAGTTGCTTGTCAATCTTGGGTTTAAGGGCGAACGGCACCCGACGAGGCTTAAGGCGGATAGGGGCTACTTCTGGATTGAGGCTAAATGATATAGGGGTCCCCTTGTACTTGCCTAAGTTGTCCGAAAACACGTCGTGGAATTCCTGGATGATGCTCTCTTCCCAATCATCGCTTCCGGCCTGGTGAATGCCGGCCACCTCGATCCCGAGTGGGGCGAACCATTGTAGGCCTAGTAAACTGGGCCGGTCACCATCGACGACAGTTAATGGGAGTGACACGGCACGATTTTTAAAAGATACTTGGACTTGACTCACTCTGACGACTGGGATCGTGTTCCCTTGGTAATCTCTGAGGATGATTTTCTGTGTCCTGAGGTCTTGACGATGGATGGCAGGGATCAGCTGTTTAAGGGTCTTCCAGGAAACCATCGAGAGGGACGATCCAGAGTCGACTTCCATCAGGCAAGGTTGGTTCTCGATGGCCACTTCCACTCGGATCTTTTGTTTGTCTAATGAAGAAGCGTGGCCGATAATAATAGTCTGGTGTGCCTCTTCTCGTCTTGCTGGAAGAGCAGATGTTTTGCTGCTGTAGGCATGGTTGTTCCATTGGTTATTCAAACGATTCCGATTTGCAGGGAGGTTCCCTGTGGTTTGGTGGAGGTTGTTCTCCTTTCTGTTTGTGTTGGATTCCCTCTTACTTCTGCAGACCCGTGCGATGTGGCCTCTCTTCCCACAGGAACGGCAGATTGCGTCGAGGAATTTGCAACCGGATCGCGGGTGGTTTCCCCCACAACCCGCACATGGGCGCTGAAATTTTAGAGTTTGTTGATCTCATTCAGCCCGAAGTCTGTTAACCTCTTCTTCATCACTCTCAGACTGGGACTCGAGGTCCTCATGGTGCGCTGTTACTGAGTCTCTTTCTAGTTGAGGCGAGGCTTCACGGGCGAATTGACGGAGCCGTGAGTTGGTGCGGCGCATTCGAGCGGCCGACTTCTTGGTTGCCTCTGCTGCAGTAACGTTTGCAATGGCATCTGCAAGATCGATGTCCCCTTTTGCCATGATCTTGCTCTGTACTGTGTGGTCATCTAATCCCAGAACTATGCGGTCTCGCATAGCTTCTTCTAGGTCTGAAAAACCACAGAGGCCTCCCAGGTTTCTAAGGTCAGCGATGAAGTCTGCAATACTTTCACCCTTCCGCTGATCCCGTTGATAAAATTCATGTCTCCGGACCAACGTTGGTACGGCGGGGGCATAGTGAGCCCGTAGGATAGGTTCGAGGTTGTCCCAATCCATTGATTTCACCTCAGCCGGTTTCGCGAGCGCTTTCGCCATCCTAAAAACGGCTGGTCCACAATGGGTCAAGAACACTGCCCGCTTCTTTCCGGGTGTAGCGTCTTTCAAATTGTTGGTTTCTAGAAACATTTGAAACCGATCCATATACGACTCCCAGTCTTCCTTTTCCGGGTCAAAAGGAGCGGGTGGTATAGCGCCACCTGACATCCTGCCGATGTAGATGCGCTCTCAGCCACGTGCTTCGGTTGGTGCTCTGTAGGGTTTAGTCAGCTCTTTTGTCTCCGCATCCCACCTTCGTCGCCAGAGTTAAGTTTGAGGCATGGGTTTAATGAACGGAGACCAGACTGTAAACCTTGAACTTCAGCTCTTTATTCTCAAGCATAACAGAGACAAAAAAAACCCGGCTAGCAGTCACTCTTTTATAGAGTAAGCTGCTATCCGGATAACCAATGGATAGCATTATAGCGTTTGAATCTTGGCGCGGCCCGCCAACAGCCAGTCAGATTGCTCGGAATGAACCAATCATAACTTGCCATTATATGGGCCAATAGAAAGTGCAGGATTACGATCCTGCTATGCAAATGAATCTTTATTAATTACATTTCTTTAGTTCACAACAAGGGTTATACATGAAAGGTTTACAATTATTTTAAACAATTTGGCAAATTTAAGCTGACTTCCTTGTTTTCAGATTTAAGAAATCTTAATTTTTTATCTCTCACTAAGAGATAAAAGGAATCCACTGAATGGGCCCAAGGCCAACTGACAGATCCAGGTCTTATAGGATAGAAAGGTTGGGGCCAACCTCACATGGGGGGTCAAGATGCTAGAGGGGGCAGCAGTATATTATTGAAACACTAAAATATTTTCCCAGTAGCAACAGAGTACTGTATCACATTGCCTTATTTGGATTTCTTGCATGATTACAGTTTTTTACCTTTCAAATTATAATACTTGTGTAGGTCCAAATCTCTCTGGTCTATATTTAACCATCCTTCCTCCTAAAATTCAAAAAAATTCTGAATTTTAGAATTGGAATAGATTTTATAAAATATATTTATGTAATGATGAATGAATGAATTTAATTCCTTTTGCAGAATATGATCTTTGGTGACTGTCTAAACAGGGTATCAATAGGAACGGCCACTTTCATCACAGACACCCGCTTTGATTTCAGGGTCTTTGGGGGGGGTTGACTGCTATTTCCAGTGCTTGCAACTAGAAAAATAATGAAAATCTAGTAAACACATATACCTATTAACTGCAGGGACCACCTCTCTCTCTCTCTCTCTTTCTCTCTCTCTCTCTCTCTTTCTCTCTCTCTCCTCACCCCTCCCCCCCTCTGTGTGTGTGTGTGTGTGTGGGTGTAAAACAGTAAAATAAGTAGGGAAGCCCACCTTTATTTTTCTATGTACCAGGAGACATTGCTCAATGAGCAGAACAAGAGATGACATGACCGCAATTCTCTGTATGACATGTTCTTCACTTGTGGAATGTAAATCCTTTGGCTCACAAGAGGTTGGAGCTTTGGAATGTGGACACACAAACACAGCCACAGGTACACACACACAAAACCACATAGAGGTAGAAATAGAAACAGAGACAGAGATGATAGAAATAGATACACACATGCACATGTGCATGTGTATACACAGACTCGCAGACATACCCAGAAAAAAATAGATTTCCCTGGAAGGGTTTGCTTTTATGAACTTTGCTGAACAGCCCTTATGTTCTCTCTTCCTACAATTATTTTGCTTTCAGTTAGTTTCTTTTCTTTTTCTTATTTCTTTTCTTTTTAATTCCATGTGCATTTTTTCCATGATCCACTCTTGATGTTACCAAACGTGGTGGATTCAGAGCATCTCATTGCCCACCACTAATTTTGTCATTTTTTATTTAAAAAACAACAACCAGATTCAATGTGCTTTTTGATTCGTTCCTTTTCCATGCCTCTGTATGAAAAGATTTATGCTTGTAAAAAAAGCACTTTCTCTACACTGATGCTCATCAGTCACCATTCCCATTTATTCTGTGCCTCAGTAGAGCCTCACTACTTTTTCTGTACTCTCGTGTCCCATTCTTAACCATCCATTTATGTCATATAACAAAATATTTTTCCCTTGGATCACATTCATTCAGTATTTTGCACACTTTCCCCCCAAATTCATTCCTGGCTCTTCCATAATTTGTGTTCACTGGAGTGAAACATGTAACTGTCAATACCCCATGGATTCCTACTTTCATTGAAGTCTACAATAAATCTATATGTCACCAATTTATATTTTCTGACATACTTTTAATGGACATACTTTCCATTCATAATTAAATCCTTCACATTCCTACCTTCACATTCTAGAATACACTCACTGACTGCATCATTCATTCATTCATTCATCAGTTCATTCATCGATCCATCCATCCAAGGTTCTATCACATCTTTCTTGTTTCTCTTAGTTTCACAAACACATAACTATTTTTTCTTTCTTTCATTCTTCTCATTAATTTGTGTTCTTTGCCATTTTTTCCTCTTACATTCTATGGTATCCTCTTCTATATGCCACACTGCCACAGTTCCCACCAGTAGTGTCCATATATATTGACCTTCACCATAATGGCTTAAATCAACTGAATATTTGATTCAACTGTGGTGGTGCATTGGTTAAAATGCAGTATTGCAGGCTAACTCTGCTGACTGCCAGCAATTCCATCTTGACCGGCTCAAGATTGACTCAGCCTTACATTCTTCTGAGGTCAGTAAAATGAGGACAAAGATTGCTCGGGGTAATATGCTGATGTTGTAAAACACTCAGAGACTGCTGCAGAGCACTATGAAGCGACGTATAAGTATAAATGCTATTGCCAAGTGCTGTTTAATACTAGTTAGTAAAATAGGGAGAGGATATGCAACTTGAAGCATTCTCTGCTGTATAGACATACCTATTAGTTTTGGCACACTTTGGCCAATATGCTGCAAATGCAACCAAAAAATTTATAGGAAACTACCTGGCAAAGCCAAAATACTGTTGGATGCTTTACAATCTAGGTATGACACTCAGAATCCACCTTTTTTTTTTTTTCAATACTCCTTTGAGTTAATATCTTCATTCATATTCTGTAGTTGAGATCCTAAATTCTAAGGATTGAAACTCCTCTATAATGATGTTTTCACTCAGGGAAGTGAGAGGCTGTTTCCACCAGTGGCTGTTTCTATCTGCAGCCCCTCTGTCCCTCCTTCCCTACATTTGATCTGGACACTTGTGGGGTTTTTAGAACAGAATAGCAGTTGTCACAGAAGTAATAGGAAGTGGGGGGAAGCAGAGGATATTCAATAGCCAAACATCTACATAGGGTATATGCAAACAAGCACATAAGTATGAATATATACACATCCATGCAGACAGCAGATACATGACAGAGTGTAGCACAAGTCAGGTGCCACAGTCCAATAGTAGATGATCTAAAGGAGTCCATTACATTAAAATTTGCAAGCATGTTACTATACATAGGTGTGTTTAAAGAGCATTCATCAGTAAGGAAGATCATCTGCCATTAAGAAGAGTTTAGAAGAAAATAGCTACCAGTTCAAACATTTAACGTAATTTATATAATGAATTATCTACGAGCCTTGATTTTTGGGTACACCATGTATATGCAGGAAAATATGGGGAGAAATAATTGTCAACACACACACACACACACTTTTATGAAACTAAAAGTATGATTAACACTAATTTCCTTTATTTTAGGAAAGGGATAAATTCTACTTATCCCGCAGTGTCATCTTAGAGTTACTGCAAGCTTTGAAGTTAAAGTCGCCTTTGCCAGACACCAATCTGCTGCTCTTGGTCCAGGTACAAACAAATATTGTAATAGTTTTGCAGTGAAAATTTTTGTCCTTTTTCTCTTCACTGTTTGAAAGGTTAGAGGTAGGGTTAAATGCTTGGAAAAAAAAAAGCCACACTATTGAAATACCGTCACATGCTGTTATCCATCTTACAAAATTGTGCTACTTGAGGCAGCCAAATTCACCTTTCTGCAAAATATTTCATGCTGTGAAGTATTTTATCTTTGTGTCAGTTTAAGACTGTTAAATTTATGGCTATATGTCCACTGTATTTCCTTATCCTGTATATTTGTTCTTGGTGATCTCTCATGTTTTAAATTCTCAGCTGGAACAAATACCAAGCAATTTTCAAATGGGATAATCTCCAAGGACAATATAATAAAACTTTTCATTTAGAGTTCTTTATCATCACTTTTTAATTAAAACACGCATGATACTCCTAACGCCAGCTATTCTGATTTGTGTAACAGAAGAGGAAAATATTAGTGAAGTGCAAGTATTAGCATCAATGGTTGAAAATATCTTTTGCAAAGTAGACAAGAAATGAAGACAGCTTTTAAATCTTATCTTTCCCCACTCAGTTTGTTTATTTATGTAAAAATAAAGTAACACTGAAGAGTGAGCATTTCCAGTGCACTAGAAGAAACTGAATGTGATGGCCGTGAACCCAGAATCTCTCATTGCTATGTAACAGCATCGAATAAAATTTAGGAATATTTTTCCTGGATCAAACTAAGGATTATGTGGTTGAGGCACTACTCAATTTGGCAGGTACAGAACCATAACTCCCCTTCATCTTTTTTCCCAAGCTGACTGTACTAGCAGAAGTAAAAATTATTTGTTTCCTAAATCAAATCTGAAGTGCGTTATTCTTAAAGACATAAATCTAGACAGGCATCTAATAAATACTGAAATATTTCACAATTACACTTTATTTATACCTTTTTGCCCGACTTGTATTGTTTAGAAGTTACTGTCAGAGAGTCTAAAGTATAATGTAAATGGTTCTAGGGTTTTTAAACTATTTTCTTCTTTAGGAAGAAAAAAAAACACAGGTTTCTCATATATTTTACAAATAGGGTCAGCCATAATAAATAGGGTCAGACACAATAATAATCTTTCTAGACTGTAAGAAGCGGTAGTGTAGGACAGTAGAATAATTGCCCTAATTGGAAATCTGAAATTGTGAACACAGATTGTATCCCCAAGTTCTGCAGCTACATATCAAATGGTACAGGTTTTCTTCAACAGGTGGGTAATCTGAATAGAAAAAGCTCCATTCCAAAAGATTAACTGAGAGCTCTTCATGTTTGGTAAACAAGACCCTACTCATCTCAACAGTTCTTCTTTAAGGTTAAAGGATTCACGTTACAAGGACTTGAGTGGAAGAACATAGCAGATGTCACTTATTCAAGTCAAATGGTTTTACATTTTTATATATAGCAACCGGCAGTTACTGACCTCGAACGCAGAGTGACTGCTCTGGCAATCACTGGCATTTAACCGTGTCAAAATGACAATCAGCTGAAACAGAAGTGACCAGGATGGCCCATGGCAAAATGCCGAGCTCTGCAGATTTGCTCCTAGGGTCACCCATCATTCCTCATGATTGACAGCCTCTTTTTGTCCCTATTTGAAGCACCTGGCTTATACATATAGTATTCTTATCTTAAGTTACTCTTTCTCAGAAGCAAGGATGCATTTAAAACAAATGATACTGGCAAATAGGTTTTCCTATGTTGGAACTAAACTAGAAGGAAGTTTAGGATGGTCCAAAGAGGTAACAGAATATTCCAGCATTCTTCAAAACAGTTTGTTCATGGACTAACCAGTTTTGCACCCTGAGGAATATAGGAGGCATGGAACAGAGAACTGGAATTCATTGTTATACCACGAACTCACATCCATACCAATGAAAAACTATATTGATACGGATTAGTCAATATTAACAAAAATATCAACATATTTGTATAAAAATTAACATTAATTTATTAATTATTATTATTATTTTTGCTTTTTAGGAAAAGCTGGAAAGATTCAGATAATTGCTAAGGATATTCTATTAAAAACAAAAACTTGCTGTGTGTGGTATCTTCTTCTGTTGTATTTGTTCTAAGGGCTGCGTGTGGCTGTGCATCATGCCATGGGCCATCTTGGTTCCTTCTGTTTCAGATGGTTCTTGTTCTGATATAATTAAGTGCTGGAGCACTCATTCTGCAGTAGACCACTGACAAGTGGTTGTATTTTAAAACGTAAAACAATTTTCTTTGAATAAGTGATATCTGTTCAGTTCTTTTATTCCATGAATTCTTGGCCCCCAAGGAAAGAAGATGGAAATCAGTAGGGCCTTGTTTACCAGGTATAGACAGCCCTCAATACATGTTTTGGGATGGAACTCTTTGAGATTTTTTAGATTGACACATTTGTTGAAGAAAACTTATACTGTTTTGTATGAAGACAAAACAGTGCAATTGTACAGAATTTGGGGTTATGATCTGTCTTCACAAGTCAAGATTTACAATCAGTTCAAATCTACTGTCTTGCAATTTTAACTCTAAGCAACATGAATGTCCCCCACAATACAGCCAAGAGTTATTAAACATAGAAACAGAATCTATGGTAAATAGTCAGTGATGACAAAAAGAGATGGAAATGGCACACTGATGATGGCAAAAAGAATGGAAGAACATCCATTTCTATTAATTAAGCAATGAACTTAATCCCCCCCAAGCAAGTTCTTTTTCAAGGAGACTCAAATTCATTAAATATTAGGCTATTGATTGTTAGGCAGCATACTTAAATACCAACTGCTAAGGAACAACTACTCACCCTGCCCACTCTGCTATTGTTTACGAGATTCCTGAATATATTTATTGTGAGGCATAAAATGTTGGATTAGCAAAGCTTCTCTTAGGTTCTTTGTTCTTAATTTGTACATTTGTAAAAAGAAACTTTAAGTTCAAATCTATCTTCTTTCTTGTCAGATGAGCTCGTGAGGAGAGGTGGGCTATAAATCAAAAAAGTAAATTGGCAAGGTAACCAGTCTTGTCAATTTTCTGTTATCGATTCACAACATTATACTAAAGGTTACATATTGTGTCTTGCTAAATAAAAACACGTGGAGGCAAATTCTTATTTATAAGTTAGTTTCCCAAATTGAAGAAGGGAGGAAGATACCCTGCAAGTAAATATGACTAAGTTTAGGATAAGGAAGTTGGTTTTTCCAAGAAAGCTGTTCGTGCTTCTATATGAAGATGTAAACCAAAAATGCTGATCATAATATCTCTCTAGTATTTCAAAGCTATATCTTTTCTCACTTTGCTAATTGAGATTCGGTGACTACATGAACATTATCTATGGATGGTCAAGAGAAAGATTAATGTCAAATTGAGAAATATTACAGAAAGTCATCTAGCCCAAACTGGTGATGGTAAAAGCAATCCATTCCCACAGCAGCAGCTGGCTAGATACCATCTAAACTCCTCCTACCTAATCTTTCTTTCTTTCTTTTGTAATTTTTGTAATTTAAACCTATTTATTTGAGTTCTGCTGTCTGCTGCAACAGAAAACAAAAGTGGTGTACTATTTATGTGACAGCATACTCTTCAACAATTTAAAAATGGCTATCATAATTTCCTAATTATCTCTTCTCAGTACTAATTATACACATCTCATTCTATCTTTCTATAGCTGTCACATTCTCCAGATCTTTCATCGTATGTAATGTCTTTTCTCAGTACTTTCCAGTGTGTCATTGTTTTTATATCAGATCTGTATTTTACTCTCTAGGATAGAGTTCCCTAACATGATGCCTTCCAGACATTTAGCAACATTTAGTAATGGGAAAATAGCAAGAGAGAGAGAGACGCCATGTGAGGCTTAATGCAACTTGAAACTTTGACGTACACCCTCACTTTATCGCCCTACCTATTTCAGAATTGAACCTCTGGATTCAATTTCACTGCTAGAATTTTTCTCTCTTTTCTCAAATGTGCACTGAATGGTCTCCCGGGCCACCACCCATCCACTTATCTCTGAAGCCTTTGTCGACTTTTATCTCAGACAACAGATTTCCAGGAAGAAGCACAGCACACATTCATCTCTTTTTTGCTCAATTGTTGTGTGGATTTCCTTTATATCTCTAGCATTAAATCTATTGCCTGTGATGTCTCGATGCCTTGGAAGCAGTTGATATGGGTAGTGATGAGGCACATTGAAGTGATGAGGCACACATATGAAGCATTTGTCTGTTTCTTTTCCTTATGATGTGAGGCAGAAATCTACCTGCTTCCTGAAAGGAGAGTGATAGCATTAGGAAAAAATGTTAATACCAAAGGACATTGCTTTTTTACAGAAGCATGGTAGGTGTTGCCTGTTCACATTTAAATGATCTTGAAAAAGATTTAGTTTAATTTAATTACTGACTTGTGACAAGGCAAAAAAAGGAGCAAATATGTGCTTCAGTGATATTGTACATGAACTCATTGAGAAAAGTTACAATTCTTTCATCTTTGTCCATTCACAAAATAGTTGTACTCACTGGCAAGTGTTTACCATCACCGCCAGCATCATTCTGAAATATCGTAGCATTTTAATTAATACCATATTCTAGCAACATTTATTACTACACATATTTTAGGACAATTATTCCTTAAGACATTTCTGTCAGAAAATCGATACATTTCACACAATTCTTCCTCTTTCCATGGCTTGGTGGTCATGTTATTGGCTGGGCGTGGCCAATTCAACATCACTCACATTGAGGCACGCATCTCCTCGCCTGGCCTCTCATGACTGTGGGGTTTCTGCAACAGTCGTAAGTGTGAAAAATGGTCATAAGTCACATTTTTCAGTGCCATTGTAACTTTGACTGGTCACTCCACACAAGCAAAGTACCAGCAAAGGAGGGGGGAAAAACTCCAGAGAAGTTCCTGAGACAGTCCTGCCAAGAATGTAATAAGGGTTAATGGAGAGGCAGTCTCTGTAGGCAACACCAGAATGTTTCCTTCCTGCCTTCCTTACAGGATTAGGCCAGTAATTTCTTCTAACAACCAGTTCTCCAAACTGCTTAGAATGTTAACAACCGGTTCTAGCGAATAGGTGTGAACTGGTAGAATCCCACCCCTGGAATGAGGGATACCAAGATTAGCTGGGAAATTGGCACAGAATGTTGAAATTGAAGACCATATGGCTGCAACAGCAGTGGAGCAGCAACCTATAGCACTGAAGAAGCCACAATTTCATATCTTTGGGAGTCATAGATCCCAGATTTTGGACACATTCTGTAAGTCAGCCTATTTGAGGTATCTTGGTTCAAAATTGTTGCCCTGTGAAGCACTGTTCTGTCCAAGTAAAGATCACGACAATAAGAGTTTTAGTAGTATATAGATTGTCTTCAATAATACAATGTTACTTCTAATTTGAATGAGTGTAGAAAAACATCAGAAGCCCTTAGAAAGAAAAAACACATGAAAATGGACAAGAAATTTCAAATATTTTGCTCTGAAATGAAAACCCACATTGCTTACAACTATAATTCACACAACGGCAACAGAATTAGATGTCTGTGTAATGGGGCTGAATGAAAAATGTTAAATTTGTGGATGTGGAACTGGGAAAAATAATACATGGTAATTTTTATATAGTTTGAATCTGAATAACTGACATCATTCCCATTCAGAGTTTAGCCATTTGTGTTCTGCAAATTTAACTGCAAATATCAGCAAAATGATAACTGATAACTGCATTTTGCCTTTTATTTCTCATTAGTTTGTTTGCGCAGATGCTGGGACAAAGCTAGCTGAATCAATGATCTTACACAAGCAAATGATTGCTTCTCTCCCTGGAGTAAGTGTTTAAAAGCCCCACTTTCCTGCACTCCAATTTTATACAGAGCCAGATATAGACGTTACATTTTTCCTCTGCGGCAGTCATTGAAAATTATCAGTTTGTATACTGGATTACATCCATGGAATAAATCTGACAAAAATGTAGCTTGCTAATTAGCATTACAATTTAAGGCTGATTATTTGTTGTCTAGCTTTTGCCAAAAGTGTTAGATTATGGCTTAAAGAATCCCCACTTATTTCAATAAGCATCGGTGATTGTTTTAACCTGATGAAGTAGAAATCTATTTTTGTTCATGTGATGGCTCTCCATTTAGATATAGTATGTGTTGTAGAAGAGCATGGATTTCTAAAGACTTCCCCAACTGATACCCTTCAGTTCTGGTGGAAGTACCACTTCTAGAATTTCCAATCAATATGCCGCCATGGAAGTGCTGGCTGAGGAATTCTGACAATGAGATTAAGGGTGAATCCGTTTGCAAAAGGAAATTCCAAACCTTTCAAACTTCCACGGTTCACATGACTAATATTATTTTCCAAGTGATGTGATCTTTGAGTTGTAACGAACTGAAGCATCTGGTAGAAAGGTAGCAATGTAACAGAATGTGCTTATTCTAATTTTAATCAATGTATTTGATACAAGGTAGAGAAGCAGAATGAAATAAAGAAGAATCATTTGTATAGGCATAGAATCATTTGTATTCAAGGGGGCAATGCCCAATTTCTTTTAGCATCAAATTGTTCAGCTTGACAGAAGCAGTGTATGGAATTCTTCATCCAAACTCACTGGAAGATGGAGAATAGTTTGACAGGACTCTCAGTGACCTTATTTTTACTGTTCGTTGTTCTGTCAAGTAAACTGATATGCAGAACAGTGGAGAAGACAAAAAGTGGTGTCATTCACCTTCATGTAGATTTTAAATATTATACAGAGAAGTGAGAAGCACTTGGGTCAGTGGAACTCCTATTGTTGCTTCCTTATTTTCTGCTTCCAACTTTCAACAGCTAATCTCCAACTGAGTTTTGTAAATTGAAACTGCTGCTTGTTGAATAGGTGTAATACATGTCCGCCATACATTAATTATCTTGAATTATTGCAAAATTTATTAGGTCCCTTCTAATTTGTTTTTTTCCCTTTACTGCCAACTTTCTTATTAAAAATACAATACAAGTGGTCCTCAGGTTACAACAGCTCTGTTAGTGACCATTGAGAATTACAATGCCACTGATTAAATGGTACTCATGACTGATCCTTGGCATTCCAGCCATCACCCCCACAGTAATGTGATTGTGATTTCTTATGTTCCCTGCTGATTTTCCACAAATAAAGTCAATGGGGAATTTGGTAGGAAGTTGGAAGTGCAGTCATGTGAGGTTCTTGCTTAATATCCCACATGGTCCTCATTTGGCAACTGGGATGGCAACTGGGATGGCTGGAACTGCTGTCACTAAGCAGTGCAGTTATGCAGCATTGCACTTTATGACCATGTAATTTACATAACCCAAGGCTAATGGTAGCTTGATTTTATTCTTACTACAATCAGCGGAATTATTTAGTGCTCTATGAATTATTCTTAAGTGAGCAATATTCCTTTTAAGATTAATCGGATATTATACATGTTTATAACCCTTAACTTATTTATTTATAAAAATTTGTAGGCTGCCCATCTTTCCTCAGGGTAACTCTGGGTGACTTACAGTCACGTTTATTGGTTTTTTTGTATATCCACATTCTTCTCAGATGCAAAAGACCAGGACCACATGTTAAGTTTTAATTAATATTTAAAATTATTTATTGCTCATGCCTATGCACACAAATCTAGTCAATTAATTAGCACTATTTGGGCACTAGTTAAGGATTCAAGATAAGTTGGACTAAGTCCGCTTGTGCCAATGTAGAGCTGGGCTGATTCCTTTTTTGACTTCATTCCCCACTCCCAGGCTCTGTCGCTCTTTCCCCTAAAATTCCATATAGGCAACTTTGGACAGGAGGTACTGGTTAGCATATGAACATGTAATGACTTCATTTAGGAATCGGTGTTGTCATTTTACATTCTAGACCAGGTGTGACAATTCCCTTTCAGAAATCCTGGGGTTGCTTGATATCAGGGAATGAGATTACTCTCTGTTGATATCTGACATATGAGAAAGAGGGAGGGGGAGAGAGACAAATGTAACTTTCCATGTAAATATATTTAGCAACAGGTTTTAGGAAACTAGTTTGAATCATATGACTGCCTGTTACATTAGAACTGAAGTTGCCTTTCAAAGCCCTTAACACAACAAAGCCTATGTTGCTTTAATGCCAGTTTAATGATATCACTTCCCTCCATCAAACTCCTGGGATCTTTAGATTTTGAGCCTTCTTCATAAAGCTCTTCGCTGAGCCAGCCCAAAGCACATAGTTTCTTAAGTTGAGTATTTGATTGTGAGAAGTATCAAACCGGGAAAGTCCGTCTTACTGGTCTAACCTAATGGTCTAACCTAGATAATTGCACTGTACCCCTGATTCTGGTAGATTGGGCTATCAGAAACTATGTGTTTTGTGTCTTTCCATTGTGATATGATCATTTCCCAGAAGCGTTATATGATTTTTTGAATGAAATGGAGGAAGTTGACCATCTGGTTTAAGGTCAACAGAGTTCCATTGGGTGTTGGGCTGGTGTTTTATGTTAGTGTGCTTTGGGGTAAAGTGAAGTATTTGTGTTCAAATTTTAGTATGGAACAGCAGCCATGGAATGCATGAGGCAGTACATTGGTGAAGTTTTGGATTTTATTGCTGACATGCATACGTTAACCAAATTAAAGGTGAGTTTAGAAAAATCAGCTCAATGTCACTTTATTTCATTTTTATGAAATTCTATATTATCTATTTAATGAGGAATATTTTAGTATCATGTTTGTGAAAAATCTAAAATAAAAATGAGCATATCAAATAAAACAGAAACTGTGTTAGTTTTATGGTTGCTGAAGTTTCTTCTTGTAATGTTTCTTCTTGTGAATTCCACTATTCCATTCTGAATTATATAACCTTTCTAGCAGCCTCCTCTGATGGAGATAGGAGCATTTTGATACCTGCCATGGAAATTTATCTATTATCAAACATAGTTTTTTTTTCAGGATTAGACAATTACCTCTGTAGGTAATTTTTTAATGATAATTTTATTAAGAATTACAACTTGAATGATAAAAAACTAATACAGAAATAAAAGAAGTGTAGAAAAAAACAGAAAATAGAAAAAATAGAAAAGAAAGACAAAATTACAATAAAGAAAAGAAATATAAAGAAATGAAACCTGCTTCATTACAACAAATATCAATAACGTATCACTTTCTCTTAAAAATACAGCAAATGATCACTTCTTTGCATATCCTATCTCTTATCTATAAACAAATTCTTAAAACCTCATCATTTCAGTACTGATCAGCAAAAATCCATCACAAGTTACCAAATATATCTATTTTACCCTTGATCAAACAAGCCAACTTTATATTCTAGCCTTTTACTTGTAATATTCTTACTCTTTAGTCCCTTCAATTAATGTCTTAAAACTTGGCTATTTTTTTTTTACTTTATCTCTTCTCCCAAAAAGCTTCAGAACCTTAATAAGCATTTCTGTAAATCCAATATATGAAAATTATCCAACACCAAACCGGCACACTTTCTCTTTCGTTCTCTTTCGTTTCGAAGCTGTCCCAACTTCAGCAGCTTTAATGGCTGCCTCTTTGCCGCTGGCAAAAAGAGCTTCTCCTGGATCTACCAGGGACTTTGCGGTATCCCTGGGATCGACAGGATGCACTCTTTACATTCACCGTCTGTTCGGGACGGTTTAGATCCACTTGGACCGTCCAGGAGCAAAGATATTGGCAGCGATCTCAGACCTCCAAGATCGCATGCCGTATCGTCGCGACGCCAGCTCTGCCCTCTCATAAGATGTACTTCTTTCTTATTATATCTACAAAATGATTTTAGGATAGATTTGGGATGATAATATGAACTGTTATAAAACAAACTAAGTAAATTATGATTATCTTGTAAAACATGAATGAATAAAAGTATAGTCAAATGATTGATTAATAATGATACTAAGGTATGTAATTTTTGATTGAAAATATGAGATTACATGCAATGTAATTGTAATTGAAGACTACGAAATGGAAGCACAAAACAATTTGTAAACCAACCGGCACACTGTATGTATACATATGGAAGATGGCTTGATGTTTTTATGTTTTGTTTGTTTATGTTTGTTTTTAAAAAACAATAAAAACTTAAATTAAAAAAAAATTATCCAACACACCCTCTTTGTTTATCTTTTCTAATTGTTAAGACATTAGTCAGTTCTTTTATATATCATATTTTTCCGTATCATTCATGTAGCTTATTTTCAAGTCTATTTTCAGTATAGTCTCAGTCTTGTAAAACTTGTTCCTCTTCCATAACAGCTTTTAAACGCAGTCAAATGGAGGTAAAAACTTTAAAAATCAACTTCTGCATCCATTGTTTAAAAATATCTTTCAATATGTCCAATGTTAAAATATTTTGCTCCATTCTTTACCAGTAAATGTTCTTCTCCTTTAATTGTAATTTTTATTCCTTCTAGTTTCTTCTATTATCCAATCTACAAAGCCCCATGCTATCATGTTCTGTTTTTTAAGAATTTAAAGCAAACACTTTTCCCACAGGAAGGATTCCTATCTTATTTTGTATTTATTTAGTCTGTTTGTAACTTTCTAAAATCAAAGTTTTAATCACTCTTTTGCTATTTATTAAAAAAAGAAGTTCTTAAACTTACATTTAAAATTTATTTTGCTAAGGATTGAAAGGAACTCATATGATGCTGTACAATCTGTGATCCAAAAGTTCCTAATAGCTGAAAAGCAGTTAACAAGCAATTTTTGACAATGTTTTAAAAAGGACCCTTTGTCCTTAAAGGTGTCAGCTGTGGTTTGAATAAAATGGCTATTCTCTTATCTCCCACCGGAGACTACTGTCTTGAGGCCTACTCATAAGAAGCAATATATGGAGCACTTGTGGGCAAACTTAAGATCTTTTCTTGTCCAGAGAGGAAACTACAAAGAGCCAAACTACTCACTGGCTCTTCATTCCACTGCAGTTATCTTTTAGCAAGCCATCTTCAGCTTATAATTTCAAAGTCTGGAGGTCTAAGATTTTTAGCATTTCATCTTTGCTGGTTCCAGTCATGAATCCACAAAACTTTGTTTTGCAGAGGGAACAGAGAAGAATGAATGTGGTCAGATCATAAATATGGATGCATCTCCATTTTGATATCATAGGAGCAGCTTGAGTCTATTTCTAGATATAGCTCTAGGTTTTCACATACCCCTTTATTGCTTGTCGCTTGGGTACCTGCAGGACCCCCTTCTGCCACCAGAATTTTCTGATCCAGCTAGATCTTTCAGGGCAAAATTTTTTATAGTCCTGTGCTTCCAAGAGGTGAGAGGAACTGAATTTAGAAAGCAATGTTTCTCTGTAGCAACACCAGTGCTTTGGAATAGCTTCCCATGAAAATTAGTCTGGCCTCATGTTGTCAGAAAAATATTAACACTAATGTTATTTTGGAGGGCTCCTCCAAGCTTAAGTACTATGCGATCAATTTCCTTTTAATTTTTTCCTTGTTCTATTAATTTTGTTCTTTTTAAGGATTCGTGATCATTATTTATATTGTTATATTGTATATTGTGTAAACTGCTGAAAATAGCAGATTATAGTGCCATAAAAGCTTAATAAATAATATCAAGTATTGCATCTCACATAAAACCAATATAAATATATTGTTATAGATGCCACTGGGTATGTTGTGAAAGCTAAATGGTATAAAATGAATATTACTTCTAAACTGATATATTACTTGGAGTGACCTTTAAATGATTTTAAAATGTTAAAAAAATGGGAAGAACAAACTCCCAGATAACTTCAGTTATGGCCATCGTACAGCGACAGGAATTTTAACTGTCCTTTCAACTTTATGCATCCTGAACACGAGCAATTCATAATAGGAATAAATGAATGGGAAATGAAGTGAATGTGAGCAGATCCACTGAGGGAAGAAGTGAGATGAGGATTTTCAGAGTTATTTTTCTAATGGCTTAAGTAACTTGAGCAGTTTAGTAACGGGAAAAAATGATGAAATCATTCTTATTGAAATATATAATGAGGACAAAAAGGTAAGCAAAGTTAGCTGCCAGCTTAATTACGTGATAGTAATTTGTAAATGGATTTCCCAAGATTTATCATCATAATAGCTCTATATTTAAAGATAAAGAGCTATTCACCTTTAATATAAACCGTTTTCTGATGCAATTCTGAGAATTGCAGCTCCCAACATTACTGGAAGACCTAAGGTTGGGGAAATTTTATGTAAATAAATAGTGTATTTTCAATTGAATTGTGCAAGTTCTGTAGCCTTTAAAATAACTTTACTATCTAAACCAGGGTCTCCCACCTTGGCCACTTTAAGACTTGTGGACTTCAACTCCCAGAGGAAGTTGAAGTCCACAAGTCTTAAAGTGGCCAAGGTTGGAGACCTCTGATCTAAACAACCTGCCTTTCCATTACAGAGTCACATGAAAACATGTTCCCAGCCATTGCATGAAGATACTTTTGGTGGACATCTAAAAGTGGGCTTAGCACAGATTGCTGCAATGGAAATCTCACGTGGCAACCACCGGGATAACAAGGCTGTGGTTCGTTACTTGCCTTGGCTGTATCATCCTCCATCGGCAATGCAACAAGGGTAAAAAGCCTTGGTCATGACTAGATTAAAAATACAAACTTGAAATAGGTCACCAAATGGTGGGCCAAAGAGGAAACTTTGCACATTCATGACTGGTATAGACATATTCTTATCATTAAAACCATGGATCCAACAGGTGTTATCATTACAATTTATATATCAAAATGGAAGATATATACTGTACATGAGAAACTACTTAGTGACAAAGTATTATGGTTTGACTACTAGAATAACTGATTCTCCTGCAGATAATTGCGGGTGGTGGTGGTGGAATCCTAACATTGCTAAGCTATCATATCATTATCCAAGAAGGTCAAAAGTGGGAATTCTACTTAAGCAGCATACTAACCTGGGGCTGCTCTTGAAGATCACTCAGCAGCTATGATGATTCTAGAATGTGGTGGTGCCAGAAGTTAATGGATACACTACGGTAATGTAAGGACCTGCCTCAGCTACTCTTGAAACAATTAGTTATCAAAAGGAACTTTTACTGAGAGAAAATGGTTGCAAAGAAGTCAGGTTGAATCTGAAGTCAGGCTGAATTTGAATCAGAATCTGCACAAAGCGTTAAGCTATTCTTCCCAATTCAAACCCCACTGCCTTTCACCAGTCCAATGCTGCCTAGGTGTTTTGAGAACTCCAAAGCATTAGTTGGATAGCAGTTCATCCCCAGATTGTAGTGACCTTGGTGTCAGGCTAGAATCAGCTGGGAGGAAGCCCATCTGTCTTCAAGATAGCCCCGCTCCCTAAATCCCATGCAGTTACAGCAAAAGCGGAAGCATGCAGAGAATGCAACCCCAATAACCTCTTCCCCTCATCTTCATCGGAATGGCAGAGTCCCAGCAGCAGACCTGACATGTACATGCATATAATCCCATTCCTTGTAAACTGCATTGGCTTCCAGGAATCTTCCAATGTAATTTAAGGTGTTGATTATTACCTATAAAGTTTTAATGGATGGCATCCAAGTTATTTGGGATGGGCTAATTAATTCCACCCATCCCACAAGATCCTACAAGGTGGGCATGCCTTATTTTGAATAACATAGTTATATGAGACGCCAGAAATATACTTTCTCTGTCGCAGGGTATGCCTTATGAAACAGCATTTCCCACCCACCCCCAAAAGAATTAGGATGATTTTGAACCTCATGACATTACATAAGGTGCTTAAAATTTTATTTTTCCTACAGGGATTGTGCCAAGATGCTAGATAACCCCTGTTGTTTGAGCTATTGGCAGGCAGAGATTGGCCTTGGATGTGTTATGTTTTTCTCTGTGCTGTTTTAAGATTTTTGTTTAATTGTCAATTTTTACTTCAATTTCTTGCCATGTCTTTTCAACGAAAGATGATATCCCTAGGATAGTCATCAATCCCAAGGGCAGACATCTACATTAGAATAGTAATAATGGTATATTAGTCATAAATTGATTATCTAGAATGGTATTCTTAGTATGTATGCTTTTCAAATAATACGTATATTTGATAAACTTGAAACCAAAATATATGTTCTTTCTTTACAGGCCCAAAGAATTCATTGAATGTGTGTCTCATATTCGACTGCTCTCTTGGCTACTGTTGGGGTCTCTGACACATAATGTTGTCTGTCCAAATTCCCCTTCAGTTTGTATGCCCATTCCATTGGATGCAGGTTCCCATGTTGCCGATCATTTAATTGTCATCCTGATTGGGTTTCCGGAGCAATCCAAGGTAAGAGATTTGCAGGATGATGATCACTTTATAATATACCACTAAACAAAATAAATGTACAGTCTTGAGCATGATCCTAAAATCCTTCTAGAACATGGGTGTCAAACTCGTGCTGTCATGTTGCCATCACATGACATTTCCCAACTTTCCCCCCCTCGCAGGGCTGGGGTGGGCGTGGCCTGCATGTGACACATCCAGCCCATGGGCCACCAGTTTGACACCCCTGTTCTAGAAGTTGCCATCAAAATGTAATTTTTATAGTGACAGATGGTGAGATGATTAAGTATATGAAAAATATTTATAGTAAACCTGACCAATCTCAAGTTCACTTAGCAAATTACTCAGCTTTTTTCTTTGGAACCTCTATTTTTAAGGTTGCATAATTACTGTCAAAATTAACAAAAGCTGTGGTATTCCCTCATTAATGAGAATTTTTCTACTATTTATTTTTCCAACATGTAGTTTTCAAGCTTGTTTATTTCTTTGCCTTGTTTCAGTGCATGAATATAAACTAGTAATTTAAGTATGAATGTCATATCACTCCTCTGACAGGAAAGAGAGTTTCAGAAAATTCTTGACAGATTCATTATAATTTCAGATTATGTGTATGTGTGTGTATCTACTAGAACAATGAATTGTTATGCTGTTATATTCTGAAAGACAATATACACATTCCTTAAAGTGTTTTTTCAAGCAAAACAAAGACTTTGTTTTCCTTATTTTTCTTCCCGCAGACATCTGTCTTGCATATGTGTTCTCTCTTCCATGCCTTTATATTTGCTCAGCTGTGGACAGTATATTGTGAACAAGCTGCAGTTGCTCCCACAGTCCAAAATCAAAATGAATTTAGTTTTACAGCAATCCTCACAGCTCTGGAATTTTGGAGCCGAGTAACACCAAGCATCCTCCAGCTGATGGCACATAACAAGGTGGTGAGTCAGATATAATGATCCCAACTACATGTACATGCACAGAAATAAATTTGCAGAAGTGCACACTTCATACTCATAGACATCTTCATATTGGCTAGATATTGTTTAACATAACTTGTTAAAACTCAGCTCAAATATCTAACCTGGTATAAGACCTGGTTGTTTTAATCAAGAATTTAAAAAAGTGAAGCATTTTTTTCATTTGGGGGAAGGAGAGCTTATAGAAAAAAATTAGTATTTTAAATTGTCCCATTATGTCCTGATTATAGCCAATTTTGGAATGACATCCAAAGCTTGATGTGATCCTCAAAGGACTTGAAGTTATGTGCACTTATTCTTTATTGTTTTTAATAATTATGATCTCTCTCTCCCTCCCTCCCTCTCCCTCCCACTCTTTCTCTCTCTGCCTCAGCAATGCTATTCAATTAAACCACGGGTGTCAAACTCGTGGCCCATGGACTGGATGTGTCATGAGCTGGCCATGCCCACTCCCAGTTTAGTGAAGGGGAAAAAAGTCGTGATACATCACGTTGTTGTCATGTGATGCAAGCTTGACACCCCTGAATTAAACAAAAGGAAGGGAGGGTCCTTTAGATCCTCTAGCTTTATAGATTTTGTTTTTAGGTAGACAGTTTAAATATGAGGAAGCATGGCTAAAAGGGAAAGTTAGCCTGCTTCTGCTATAGCTGGTCTATTATTATAGATTCTTTTGCAGGTTCACATTTATGCTATATTACTAACGATGCTTGCACAATACTTCATATAAATACAGCATGTGACAAAGTGTATCTTACCTACAAAATCCTTATGTGAACATAATGAGTTGTAGATAAATACCACCATGATTGGGTAGAAATTTATAATGGAAGATAGAAAAGGACATGGTCACCAATGCGTATGTGCTTCATTCCATTTAATCTAGAAGCGATCGCTTGTCAAACCCATGGCATGAGAAATGCCTAATATATAAATCCTGTTAGACTGCCAATGGGACTGATTTAAATTTCAAATATTTCCACTGTGTCTGCCTGCAGTGTTTTGAAATGTAATTAACTGGTCCTTCCAAGTAATGAAGAACACAGTTCAGAAAGAAAGTAACTTTGTTAGTAATATTATAAGGGCATCTGTTATGCAGAAGTTGGAAGGCACGGTGCATCATTTTGTTACATTTACTGTAGAATGTAATTCTGAAGAAGTATTATAGAGATATGATACCTCTTATTAAAGGTAAACTTAAATTTGCATTTTAATTATTTAATGTGAAATCTCAATCTCTCCCTGTTTATCTAAAAATGTTAATCAAGTTAGAGTAATAGTATGAACCATTTATTTTTTGCTTTCATGATATTATTATACTGCTCATTCATTTTATTGCAGTATGTCTCTCTTTTATCCCAGATGGTAGAAATGGTGTGTCTCCATGTGATCAGTTTAATGGAGGCTTTGCAAGAATGTAATTCCACCATTTTTGTCAAGGTAGGTCAGCCCTTGGGGGGGGGGGGGGGGAGGCAGGAAACTTTTTAAAATGGCTGAAATACAGAGGGTTTGTCATATGTGCTTCCTGGTCTTCCAAGCACTCCTATGCATTGTTTTTTTTATTTAAAAAAAAGGCTTTTGAAGATTTATGGGCTTTCTAAAGCAGGGGTCGCAACCTTTTGGACCTCAGGGACCACTACCTCATAATTTTAAATCCCAGGTGGACCAGAGACCCTGAGAAAATCCTCCAAAAAGTCTGCAGGAAAATTCCTCACTCCATTTTCCTATCAATTGATTATTCTTTACTTGGGATCGCAGGATACCGTCTTCAGCTCCGTTCTCAGGGGGGGGGGGGAGAGAGAGGGAGAGAGAGAGACTGAGACTTTTGGCTTCATGCAAAGAAAGCAGTAGAAGCAGCAGAAGTCTTTCTTTCTCTACCCCAAACTCTGCCAGAAATGAGACTTTGTGAGACTTGTCGTGCCAGCGTAGCCTCTTGGAGCAGGATCCCAAAGACTCATTTCTGGCAGAGTTTGGGGGAGAGAAAGAAAGACTTCTGCTGCTTTCCAGCCAAAAGCAGAAGAAGAAAAAAGTGGAAAGAAGCAACCTGGTGGCCAGGCGAGGCACGTTCTCCCCCTCCGCCCTTTCCCTCCTCCCCTCACTACCTTGTGTTGTTTGCAATGCAAGTGATGAAAGCCTTGTGTTCCCGCGGGCCATGTGGGTGGTGCAGCCTTGTGTTTCTGCACAGCCTGGATTAATTACTTTGGGGGGTGCTTTGGGGGTGATATTTCTCTGCGGACCACCAGTGGTCCTCGGCCCACTGGTCGGCGACCACTGTTCTAAAGCAATGTTTGATGGAGTATAAAGTGCTGTAGAGAGAAGCTTCACATATAACTTTTCAGGAATTAAAAAAAAGATTCCAGTAATTAAATGCAGCTGTTAAAATATTTTTCAGTTATATAACTTGGCTATAGTGATGTCCAAAATGGATGTAATTATTAATAAGAGGGACAGCATGTGATTACTGGTTCCTTTATGGTTTTGTTCTAATAATTTTGGAGAAAAAGAATTACATTATACAAAACAGCATGTTGCCAATGGATAAAGGATGTTTTGTATTTGGACTATTACGGTATATTGGAAAACGTTCTCAGGAATGCTGCAGGAAGGAATAAAAGGTTTGGCACGGCTTACCACTTGTACCTCCCTTCTGGCTTACATTTTGGAAGAATAATATTGATTTAAGCCATTTCCCTTTCTAGAGAAAGCCCTGTGGTCTTTTACCCACTTACACCTAATCACAGTATAAAGGAAGATGTCCTGGTGATGTCTTTTTTTGTGCTAGGTTCTTAAGACATCATTCTTATCACATTTCCAGTTCATGACAAAAGCTGACGGCATCCCTAGCTGTACTAGTGTTAAAGAAATTAATGTTTTCCATTTCAAGCTAATAGCATCTGATGGGAGTTTCATGGCATGTAAAATCTAGTATGTTTCACTCACAAGTCAAAGGCAGGTGTTCTATAGTGGTGATCAGAACAGTGCTTAATGGTTGTTTCTCTGGTCCCTGGTTACTCTTAGATGCTGCCATTATACTGCTCTCCTTCTGAAGAGTTGGCTTAAGATGCTGGAGGTCCACAAAGCTAGAGGGCTGCTCAGTGTTTGATTGTAAGATCTCAGGCCACCCAGGTTCTCCCTTCTTTTCAACCATCTCAAAGACTTTATTTAGTCTTATTGTTTGCAGATGGGGGACATGGGGCAGTATATAGTGCTGTGGCAGCTTTTAGCCTCATCTATAGTCACTTCAGTAATTTCATACAAATCACCCTATGGATAAAAAAGTGGGAATATTCTTCTACCCCACCCCCAATTGCTCACTCGTAGAAACTACTAAGATTGGAAAGTTGACTGTATGGAACAAATCTGAATTGGCTTCCTAGGGCTTGGGAGAGTAAAAACAATGGCATTGTGTATATACCTTGAAATCTGTAAAAGTGACAGAGAGAATTTTAAAAAGCATCTCTGCACATGTATTTGGTTCCCAATGTTTTGGTTGGAAGAACATACAAAATAGTGCTTTATTTCTAGGAAGATGAGAATCAAAGATGAGAATCTCATCTTAAGGATGCAAGCTGACATGTCATTGCATGCTTTTTAAATTCAAGATAAGAAGCATTTGCTCACAAATACATATTTTAAGTGATTATATAAGCAAACAGTTCATGTGGAAACATTAAATAGGTACATTTCATATATCCATGAATGGGATTCTAGAACTTTGTTGGATTCATAGACACAGCTTCAAAAATAGCTGCATTACTATTTTTCAATATTTCCACATGAACACACTTATGTGATGCCTTTCAAAACTGTGTGTGTGCTCTTGATATATTTTTTTAATCATAAACAGGGCAAAAATAATGCTCACAAAGAACAGTTGTGAGCATAGAAACTGCCTTTCCAAATCAGATAATCTATCCAGCATTTCTCTATTTCTGCTACAGGATATTGATGGCCTTACCTTGTTATTTGGCATCAGAAATAACAAGGTATATTGCTTTGGAATCTGAGGTTTTTATTTAGCCTTCATGGTTAGGAAATATTGATGGTAAATCCAATCTGTGTCTAATGAAAAGTGTCCTTGATCACAAGTTTAGATGTCCAGGTCTTCTCTGATAAGAAAGTGAGCAAGTTCAATATTGTTTGTAACAAGAGGATTATTTCATGCTTGGTCAGGAACAATCCATAAACGGTTATAATTGCATATTACTCCAAGTAGTTTGGGGTTTTTTCTTGCACAGAAGAAAGAAATCCCCCCCCACATTTCTCCTTTGTGGATAGTTGACGATCACTATAATTATAATGTGGTTAAACACATTGTTGAAATGGTTATTCCTTCATTGGGATTCCCTAAATAATATCGTTTCTCATAAGGTGCATTAAATAAGGACCGCCCTGACCCCATCGGTGGAACTCAGCCAAATATTATATCATCCACTCTTGCCAATGAAATCATGTTCTCTGAATAGTGCTTTAGCTCATTCTGTTAATACTGATTCAATTTTGCATGATGGTAGGAGCTTGATTGGAAAAAACTGAAAAATGATATCATTTAGAGGAACCTTGTAGAACAGTATGTCCAGTTTTTAAAATAATCTTAGATAACATATAAAAAATACCTCAACTTTTAAAATAAATGTGCCTTACAATTAAATTACACCAGTTGTCAGATGTGCCTCATCCAAAACCCAAGAAAGAACTCCCGCAACTCCATTGTTGTAGAGAAAAGGTACTTTTATTATGTTTGAAGTGATAGCAACAAAAGAAAGCAAGATCTGAGGCAAATAGGCACGGAAATTACATATTGAAAGTAAATCCCAAGTTCCCTCCCCCAAGGGTCCAGACTGGACATCCAATCTGAAGTGCTTATAGTGTCATGTTGGGTACATCTTCAGGTGGATATTCCCTCATCTGGTATGCCAAGACGGTTGACCTTGGCTCTGCAGAGATAAGTCCATCCAGTTGCGCAATAAGCAGGAAAGCATTCCCTCCATTTTAGTTCACATAGAAACCTTTTTCACTCTCCAGCAAACTCCCCACCAATACCAAATTTCCCCTCCCCCCGTTTCTATGACAACCGACAAGAAGCAAGCAGCATGAGGTGTCAAGAAAATGTCGTGGAGGCTGACACCAGCCCTTTTATTTTCTTCCACCATCCCAATAATGAGAATCTGAATATACCGGAAACAACTGTTGCTAACAGCAAAGCTTCCCAGGTTAAGAAAATAGATAAACACTTGTATGTGATAATAACATTACAGGTTATTTTTCAAAGTGGCTCACATAAATATTCAGTGCTGCAAACTCATAACTTACTGAGCCATAGTGCCTTACTTTCTGGTTAACCTCAGGGTGTCAAAGCAGGGGTGTCAAACTCGCAGCCAGTGGGCTGGATGCGTCATATGCTGGCCCTGCCCGTGCCCAGTTTAGCAAAAGGGAAAAAAACGTTCTGATATGTCATGTGACAATGCCATGAGGACACGAGTTTGACACACCTGCTCTAAAGGGTGCTATATTTTTAGGAACTATATACTCCAACTACAATGTGACATTTTTGATCATATTTATTTATTAGGGATTTTTTTTGTAGTGCCTTTATTCCTTTATAAGCAATACACCTTCCTCCTCCCATTTTCTCCACAAAAACACCTCTATGAGGAGGTTTGGACTGAGAGAGTAATTGGCTTACAATCACCCAGTTGGTTTTCATGCCTAAAGCAGGACTAGAATTCACAGTCTCCTGGTTTCTAGACCAGCAATTTCTACACCAAATCAGCTCTCATGCTACTATCTTTTCCCACCCATTTTTATTTTATTTTATTCTACATACACACATCAATATGTAAACAGTGTGGCACCTAAGCATCATACTGGTGCATCATTCTGGTGCAAACAAAAATAATAGCATTAATCATATTTCTAATGTTAATACAGATATTTGTATTAAATTATAATCTTTCATTATTTAATTATTCAATATTCCAATACATTCTTCTAATGCCAATCACCATATTATTTAAGTATACATGATAATTTCATTATTCAATTCCTTCTTTCATTTTTATTTTTATTTAAAAAAACCTCTCTTTTGGCAATCAGTGTGGTTTCAGGTCTTTACATTTCAATACAAACATGACCATAGTTACATAGTCATCTTTCTTGTTCAGTTTCATATCACTTTATTACTTATTAATATTAAATTCATTAAACTTATTTTATCCAATTTCGATTCTTATCTTATTTCATTTTTCTTACTTTACAATATTATCTAAGATTCTTATTTCATTTCTATATTTATTACATATATTACTTTTATCTGTCACATTTGCCATTTTATCAATCCTTGTTCTATTAATTATAAAAATTGTCCCCTTTAGTTGTCAATTCGAACTTACCACCTTCATTCTACATTAATAACAATATTTTCCTATCTACTAAATATCAGATATACATATATTTTACGTCAGATTCTGCATAGTATTCTTTTCTCAATCATCTTATAAATCATATATATATATTGCAAAAATATTAATCTAGTCAATTAATTATAGAAACTGATATTAGTCTTTCTATTATAAATCTCATAATTTTATGCATTAGTGATTAATATTCATATAATAAATTCCTATTTCCATATCAATTTCATTAAATTCCATATCATAATGATAATCCTTAGAAAGAAAGAAAAATCAGTTCCAATCTTATCTATTTTCAAATACTTATTGATATATATCACAACACATTACCTTGCAGAATCTCTCCTGTCCTTTATTACCCATGGTCTCTCATCCTCCTAACTATATAATTTCTTTTCATTCTTGTTTTACTTCCTGTTTCTCTTTATTTTCTGGTCCTTTCACTTAGTTCCCCCCTTTCCCGTTATTATTCCCCTCCATTTCTCATTCCAATTATTTATTTTATCCTCCTCCCTCTCTTGATCTTTCTTCTGTAGTTCCCTCTTTTGCTTTTTCCCTTTCCTTTGTTTAATTTTCCGAACCATTCCCACTTTCATTATCACACCAAACCAGAAATTTTTAGCTTGAAATCTTTTCTCCTCTTGTTTAAATGATCGTTGCTCCACTTGATCTTCAAGACTGGTTTCCTCTTTAACTCCTCCCCCTCTGATTTTCTTTGTTCTTCAATCTGAATCGCCATTTCTAGTTTTTGTAATATATTGCTGCACATTTCCAAGCTTTCTTTGATCATTTCCTTCATATCTTGTAGATGCAGTCTCATTTCTGCAAATAATTCCCCCACTATGTATGCTGTTCCTTTTCCCCCTCTTCCTTAATAATTATATACAATCCAAATGTCCAGTAGGTTGTTTCAACCAGCATCTTTTATATTTAATTTCAACAATTAATGTCCATAAGTCTTTGTTTCCAGGTTCTTTTCCAACTTTTTCCAAAAGTCACTGGGTGGTTCCAAAGCAATTTTTTTCAAATATCTTTCCCCTTGTGATATTCTGGTATTTCACTTTTATGGTTTTTTTTTATTATGATGGAGTTCCTCTTATTTTCTTTTAAGTTCCAAGTACCAATTTTAAAAAGACCAAACACTTTTCAAAGAGTCATTGACATTTTTCCTGTACCATCAGGTGGCGCTCTCAACACTATTTCCACATCCCACCCTTTCTTTCATTTTTCCCTTTTTTAGTTATAAAACTTTTATTAATGTTGCTAATTTCAATTATTAGCTAATATTTCTTTTCAACACATTCAATTCCAGCATTTATTTATGCCTGTTTAGTGTCAAAAGTCCAATAGTTATCCAATTTAATTTCCAAGCCTTTTGCACTCAAATATTTTCCTCTGAATTTTCACCTCCAAATTAGTTCATTTCAATATTCAAAGCCAGGTTTATAAGTTCCAATTTCCTTCCCTCTCTCTCTGATTGCTGATTCTACACACTTTCATCCGCAATTGTTCTCTGTTTCTTAATTGTAGAGTACCTTAATGTCCATGTATTTCAGCTGGTACACACTCCGCTCACTACTTCACCACTCCAGCACAGTCTTAGTTTCCCAGACTGCTTCCCATCTTCATGGTGGCCATTTTTGACCACCGCTGCAACATGTTTCAGAGGGGGGTTATCTTGTCAGGGAAGGGAGATGCGGCTCCCCTCGACCCTTCAAGCAGTTCCCCCTTTCTTCACCAACCCTCCAGGGTGGTTCTGGTCCCAATTGGTACCCTCCAAAAAGTGAGCTTGGAGCGAAACCATGCACAATCACAGATTCCGCCCTGATCACAATGGAAGAGCAACCAGAAGTCCCTCTCATGCTACTATCTATTGGAATGTGTGGGGTGATAGATCAGTTTAATATAATGAATTTATTGTTCTAATAATCCAGCTGTTTTTTCCATTACTTTGGTATCTGAAATCCAGGTTCCCTATGAGACTGACATAACCAGGGGGGGGGATTCAAAAATCTCAACAACCGGTTCACTGCCCGGTTGTTGGGTTGGCATGGCCATGGTGGATGTGGCCTACCAGAACTTCTGGGAGGGCCATTTTTTGCCTTCCCCACAGTCCGGAGACTTCCCTTGGGCCTCTGGGAGGGTGAAAACAGACTCCCCCAGGCTCTGGAGGCCCTCTGGAAGCTGGAAACAGGTCCATTTCTGGAACTTCTGGGAGGGCCATTTTTTGCCTTCCCAAAGCCTCCATGTGGACCTTTACACTCCATCCAAAACAGGCCACATGGAGATTCCTGGGAAGGGTGGGGCGGGGTAGGCGAAGCCAGCCAGTTGGTTCAACTACCGGTTTGGTGAACGAGATGTAAATTTAACATCCAATTTACCCAAACAGGCCTGAACCGGCTAAATCCCACTCCTGGACATAACTTCAGGGATGAGGAATCTGTAGCTCTTCAGACAGCTGTTCTATCTATCATTCTGATCCAAGATCAAGAATGAGAGGAGTTATTGTCTAACAAACTCTGGAGAGTCATTGGTTTCCCACTTGTCTATAATGAATATCTTCTTTTTTTGGTTTCTTGCTTCACTAAAATTTTGCAGGAGGAAAAGAAATGGCAAAAAAAATAATTTGTTTATTATTTCAGAAATGCCATAGTGTATGACACTTTCAGCCAAAGGGCATTTTTTCATATGAACTTATGATCCTCTTGACTGTGTTTTTGATCACAAAACAAAAGAAAAAAATCCTAGTCTCATGAAAGTCTAACTAATACATTTAAAAAAGGGTTTATGAGAGTGAAAGAAAGAGAAGTAATGGTGTGAATTAGCTTTCGGTGATTCCTTTCTTGGCTGTCTTCCTTCATGAGTTTTGTGCTTGAAAACTCTCAAATGGAAAGAAAGAGACATCTAGTCAATGGCAGAAGTTTCCATCAAAACTGACAGAGATCTTTCATCATGGAAATAAAAAGATTGAAAGCAGCATCTGTTGGCATCAGATTTATTATTGTAGTTGAAGGTTTTAAGGCAACTTTTCCTAAACCTAGTGCTCTCCCCCTAATGCTTGAATAATTTGGCTTGGCAATTCTAAAATTTGAAATCCCAAACTATCTAGTCAGTGCCAGCTTGGGTGTGGCTGCAACAAGCTGCTCCCCTACCCCTAATGTGGACAAATGAAAAATACAAGCAGATGTCCATTTTTGATACCAAACCTGGCAAAAGTCATTAGTTTCAGATAGCAGGTGTATAACAAAATACAACACTTCTAAAAACAATAAGCAAACCTTCCATGTTTAGATTGCTCCCATTATATAGAAGGCTGCTTGTAGTCGTTTGCCACATGCATGAAGCCATGTTCTAGATCAGGGGTCCCCAACCTGTGGGTCACAGCCTACTAGTGGACTGTGAGGGGATTGTAATCCTCACTTGCACAAGCAGTGGGCAAGCATATGTGGTGTGTTTCATTTGCACAAGCGGCAGGCACGTGTGCATGCCTCTCACAAGGAATCATCCCCCCCTTCCCCAGCTGGTCCACAAAGCCGGAAACATTGGGGAACTAGAGACAACTGAACACTTTTATTTTTCCTATCAATATTGCCAGTGAAGTGCCATGAAGACAAAAGGCCTTAATCCAGATGACACATTAACTGTTGCTTCATCATACAATGATGACACCATGCAAAGTTTCAATTGGATTGTTTTAGTTGAAAAGTATTTGATGTGATCTATGCTCTGTTTTAGATTAATGCTTAAATATAACATTTTGAATAATTGTTGGTACTTTGAATACTTTGATAAATAAAAAAGATTCTAAATTTGTACTTCAACAGTAAAGTATATTGGAATCCCGGACATTATTTCTAGGAAAATATTTTAATGAAGCTTCCTGTGTACATTATAAATGGATGTTATTACTAGGTTTATTTTGTAATATAATAATATGGTGGCTATTATAAATATATTATGAACATGCTGAATACTGATTTTTTATCCCTTTCTATCAGCTCATCCCAATGTGGTTACCAATGATTCAATCCAATCTAAAGGTAGGTTCACCTTAATGTGTTCCCAGATGTTAACATTTGTTTTAACTGAATAACAGTATATTAAATTATGCATCTATTCCAAATTGAACTCATCAGCTATGTTACTCCAAGACTCTGTTTGCATAAACATAGTTTAACTGATGTCTAGTAAATACAGGCATGCATGGCTGTCAGTGAAAAACATCCAGAGTTGTTCTGTCAAGAATGCAAGGACTTTTTTTTAATAGGTGAAAGAAGGTAGAGTGCAGCAGTTTTCTGCTGATGGAAGGGGAAAGTAAATTGTTATTTCTTTTCCTTTTGGTCTCCCCAGCCACTCCCTCACTAGTTCAGACCTCCAAGGGCAAGGGGAGGAAGAAAGTGAGAAGCCCAGTTTGCATCCTGTTTCCCTCTCAGGCTCTTCCTTTTTCTCCATACCCTGGATCCACTCCACCTTTTTGTCTTAATAAAATTATGTGTGGAATGTGTCCTTTCCCTTTTAAAGGGCCAGAGGAAGACCAGCATAAACTCACATAAGATGATCCAATGATAATTATATTTGCATAAGTATATAAAAATAACCAGAATAACCAAAAGTGAGAACGAGAAAAGAGTGCTTCCTGTGGAGCTCGAAAGAATGAGTACCCCAAGCTTTATGGAATATCAAAAAGAAGCAAACCTCTTAACAGCCAAAACAAAACCAACTAAATGACAATTAAGCATGTTCAAGAATTGGGGAACGCAGAATAGGCTATGATAACTGGACGAAGGAAAAAAAAAGAGGGAGAAAATGAATTGGTTTGCTAGAACTGCTCAAAGCTTATATAGAACTGAAGGAAGCAGACCATTCTGATCAGTATTCCAACATTATGTGCAAATCTTGTTGTAACAGTGTGAACCTACTCTGACTTAAAAGGTGTCACATTTTTAAATTTGAATTTGCAACTCCTAAAGAAAATTATTGTCTCTGTGAAACTTTCTTCCCTCCTTTATCCATAAGACTCAGTAAGGTGTGTTACAAGTGGTACTTTCAGGTTCTCAGGTACTTTCAGGTTTATGAAGGCCTTTCAGTAAACACTGCTGCTTCTTACTGGATTATCTCATTATGGCCTATTCTTGTTTTCACTCTTTGATGGCTGAATTGATTCTGAATTTTTAGGATGATGTAGGCTTAAGCCAAGGTGGTGCAGTGGTTAGAGTGCAGTACTGCAGGCTACTTCTGCTAACTGCCTGCTGCCTGCAATTTGGCAGTTCAAATCTCACCAGACTCAAGGGTGACTCAGCCTTCCATTTTTCCAAGGTGGGTAAAATTAGGAGCCAGATTGTTGGGGGCAATATGCTGACTCTAAACCACTTAGATTGGGCTGTAAAAGCACTGTGAAGCGGTCTATTAGTCTATGTGCTCTTGCTCTTGCTATTAATCATTGTTAAAGTTGCTTTGAGTTGATTATTATTTTTTTTTAAAAAAACCTAGAGAACTGACAGTAAAACTTGTACATATTTTAACAGCATTTATCTGCTGGCCTTCAGCTCCGCCTGCAAGCTATTCAGAACAACGTGAACCATCATAGCCTTAGAATGTTACAGGGATCCGTTCAGATGAACACCAACACCTCTGTCCTTCGCAAGTGGCTGCAGTGTACACAGTTCAAAATGGCTCAAGTGGAAATCCAGTCATCTGAAGCAGCATCTCAGTTTTATCCTTTATGAGTTGGGGGAAATGTTCTGTGAACCTGTTAGTCTAGCAATAATAGGGCTAAAGCTATAAGACAATGGCCATCTTTAGAAACCATACAACAGTACTGTAGCTCCGTTTTTGTTTTGTTCTTGTAGAGAGAAAAAAGGTGAAATGGCTAAAGACAGTGGGCTGCCTGTGTCCCCCAGTAACCAAAAGCATGTTTTGGCTGATGCATAACATTTACAGGAATATTCTATGAAATGAGGGGTTTGCTCACTAAAGCCTGAGCCAATGCATATAGCTGGCTGTTTAAATATATGTATTTTAAAATATTGATTTATAAAAGAAAATGATTTGTTTTGCCCCCTTGGATTTATTAGCACATATACACAGGACCTGTATATACACACAAAGTGTTGTGTATGTTCAGATACATACGTGTGCTGCTGCTGTTGTTGTTTTTTACATTATAACAAAGTCAGCTGCATTTTTGTTGTCTTCATACTTAAACTTGGTAATGCAATAAATCAGCCATCTCCAACTCATGCCCTCCAAATGCTTTGGACTACAAATGAATGTGGATGCGATGGGTTTGGATGATGTGAGCTGTAGCCCAACACATCTGGTGACCACCAGATTGAGGGATGCCAAAACTTTTTTTTTCCATTATAAAATAGTTACCTTGCAATTTCCCAGGATTTCCCTTTTCATTTCCCCCCGCAATTTCTATCAGCAACTTGCAAGCGTGGCCTGTGCTAAAAGAAAAAGAAAAAAAAAAAGAAAAGAAAAGAAACCCTTCCAGATTAAACACTCATTACCCATCTCTTCATGTTGTGCACCTCTACCCCTTCCAAGCTGGGGTAGGAGAGGCATCATTTTGGGGTCAATGCTGGCATTTTGCCCAGGGGAACGAGACATCCAAAGCCAATTCTGCTTACTTACAAAGTGCACTTAGAAATTAGGTGGGTAAACTGTGCCAGTTCACTTGTCTTTTTTAAAAAAGAACTACTGAGTAAGTTTAAGAACTTTAACTTGGTTTCATTGCCAGTATTTTTCTTGCAATTCTTAGGAAACTCTCTGCATACTACTACCTGTATGATATATGCTATTTCTTCTTATATACTTGTACACGCTGAGATTTGAAATAGGTCCCATTCATGGGGTTGCCAGAGAGAATATGGATGTTTCAGGCTTCCCTGAGGAAGAGGTTTCAGGTTATAAATTTACATACAGTAAATAGAAAATATATAGAACCACTGCATAAAAAAAAACCAATGTTAACTATTTTTTAAAAGTGAATTTTAATAGCATTGAAAGAGACTGATCCACTGAGATGTATAGAAGAGCCACTGGCTGCAGTGGACTTCGGATCAGCATCTTTGAATAGCAGAACCTCTTGTACTTAAAACTTTTTGTGTGTATACATAACTGAAAAATATTGAATTTATTGCTGTAATCTATTGAAATAAAGATTTAAGCTTTCTATGAAAATGCTATTCAGAGCGTAACTCTTTAATATCATGAATAATATTGGTTAATATTCTGTAAATAAAAATAAAAATTATTACCGTATTATGCAGCACTTGCCCCCCCCCATTATTATTTCCTTGAGTCTCCAGTGAAACTTGGCTGATTTTTTTTTAAAGCAAGTCTAGAGCTGGTTGTTGGCTGAGATGGCACTGGAAGTCACAGGGTTACTCACTGAAGCGGGAAGTGAAAAAGCTGGAGTTGAGAGATTTTGTTTACCGCAAATAGAGTTTCCCCGTACAATCATGATGGGAACAAACCATGCCCATACCATTAGCCACTTGCAGGGATATCATTAGCTGTTTAATGCCATAAATGGTATATTTTAGTTGTTCATTTGGAAAAACAGAAAGTGTTTACAGATAGACAAATTCTGCTATTATCGGCCAAAAAACAAAACAAAAAACCCCTCTCCATAAAACATAGAAATATTGTGCAGCTGTCACATGTTTTCTTCTCTAATTTGGGGGAGAAAAAAGAGGATAACCAGCAGTATGGTGAATGGATCCAATTACAAGAGCCTGAGGACATATCATCTTGAAGCTTGTCTATGTGATTGCTAAGACCTATGTTGCTGGCACCGGTTTGATGGCGCTTAATCACTCATTAGTGAATTACCTAAGTAAGAAAAATGCCCCCCAAAAGCATTTGGAAGATTACAATGAAAGATGGACACAGAAGTCCAAATTCAGTGAATAAAACAGTGATTTGTATAATATCACCATGAAGCACAGCAAGGGCATTAGAAGGGATAAGATTACGCTAGGCATTCCACCTAACCCTGTCCTTCTGTGCATTACAAAATAGCCAATGATTAGTTCTCAAATATTATGTAGGGGAATATAAAAAGTGTACCCAGAACATCCTAACAACTAGTTCACTTGATGGTGAGAAAGGAGAGCAGGACACTCAGTTCTGAAACAATACGACAGTTATATTTGGAGTTGTCTACATAGATCAGGAAGAATCTAATACCAATCCCATACAATGTTTCTCTGTGCTGTGGAGTTTCCTATTCTTCCCTATGATGTTCCTTACATCTGATAGACCACCTGTAAACTCCTATGATCTCAAAAACCATGCTAGCTGGAAACAAAGAAGATAAACGGAACACTTTTAGGAAGGCATCATCAGGTTATTCTTCTCTTTGCTTTTATTATTTTAAGTGCTATCTTTCAACAGTTACTCCACAGCCATTTATAAAACATGTTAAAGTTTAAAAATAGGAAGCCAAGCAGCTCTAATCAAAGTACATAAGATTTTCCTGGAGCAAAAACTGGTTGTGAGCTATCCAGAATCATTGGGCGTTGTGCAGCATGCATATGTGACAAAGCAGCGAAATATTTATTAAATAATTTGTATCGTAACAGTTACATCATAACAGTTAAAGCAATCAAGTTATGTCTTCATCAGAATCTAATAGTGTGAAATCCCATATATAAAAAGTAACAGTAAATAAACATTTTCTGTGGCCACATAGCGATATGCCAAAGGTGCACAGAATGCTGTTACCTTCCCACCAAAGTAGTACCTATTAATCTATTTGCATTTGCATTCTTTCGAAATGTTAGGTAGGCAAGAGCTGGGTTAGGAATGGGAGCTCACCCTGTTGCGTGGTGCTTGGGTCTTAAACCCAGGCTGTCAGCTTTCCAGCTAACAAATTCAGCATCTTTAGCCATTGAGCCATCATGCCCACCAATCATCTCTCTCCCTCTCCCTCTCCCTCTCCCCCTCCCTTCCTCCCTCCCTCCCTCCCTCCATCTATCAATCTATCTATCAACTATCACCTACCTATCTAGAGATCTATCTAGAGCCCTGGTTACACAGTGGTTAGAATGCAGTGGTTTGATTGTAAATGGATCAAGATTGACTCAGTCTTCCTTCTGAGGCTGGTAAAATGAGGACCCAGATTGTTGGGGGCAATATGCTGACTCTGTCAACTGCTTAGAGAGGGCTGTAAAGCATAAACGTGTTTTAAGTTGATTTAAACATCATCATCATCATTTTTTGATGACGATGATGATGTGTAAATAACCTTAAAACATATTTAATGTAGATTTATGTATAAATATCTTATGTATCAGTATATTAAGCTTTAAGCTTAAATTTACACATAGGTATTTACATATAAGTTTGATTTACACATAAATATGTAAAAATGCATTTTTAAAAAAGAACTGGATACAAGGATCAACTAATTACTTTTAATGTATACAGTTTTTTAGTTTACCAATGGTAGGTAATTATAGATTAAAGTGTCTGTATTGTTAGACTTCCAGGCAATAATACCATCTGTGTAACTGGTGTTATTGTAGTTCAGTTGGCTTCCCTGTTGAGTTTGAGGCTTTGCCAACCTGGCATTCTTCAGACATTTTGACAATGCTGCTGGGCAGATGAAATTGGAAAGAGTTGATGGGATTTGTAGGCTGGGCCTAGATTGGACTATTTAGCTGCTGTTCATTTCTTACAGTAAGTGGAACATTGCTCTGGACTCTCCAAGGAGTATTCTACCAAATCTGATACAGAAAGGATGGTTCTCTGAAATTTAATGAAATTCAGTGTAGAGAAAAGTAAAGTCTTACACTTAGGTAAGAAAACAAAAGTACACATATAGACTGGGTGAAAACTGTGAGAGGGATCTTGGAGTCTTAGTGGACAACCAGCTAAATATGAACCAGTGGTGTGCAGCAGCAGCCCAAAAAGCCAATGCAATCCTAAATTGCATTAACACAGGGAATCAATCAAGATCAAGTGAGGTACTAATGCCACTCTATGAAGCCTTAGTAAGACCACACTTAGAATACTGCATTCAGTTTTGGTCACCACACTATAAAGAAGATATTGAGACTCTAGAAAGAGTGCAGGATGGTTACAGGAGCTAGGCATGGCTAGTCTAGAGAAGGACTGGGGAGACATGATAGCAGTCTTCCAATATTTGAGGCGCTGCCACAAAGAGGAAGGGGTCAAGCTATGGTCCAAGGCACCTGAAGGCCAGACAAGGAATAATGGATGGAAACTGATCAAGGAGAGATTCAAATAAGGAGAAATTTTCTGACAGAACAATCAACCAATGGAATAGCTTGCCTTCGGAAGTTATGGGAACTTCGTCACTGGAGGCTTTCAAGAAGAGATTGGACTGCCATTTGTCAGAAATGGTGTAGGGTCTCCTGCTGGGGGGGGGGGGATTGGACTAGATGACTTACAAGGTCCCTTTCAACTCTGTTAATCTGTAATCTGTAGTTATGGTCAGCAAGCAGATGCCTCCACCATGAAAGTGTAGACAAGAAGATAAATACATAAAGTCCAAAGTCTTTGGAATGGTTGCAATTCATTCACTTGCCAAAGAGTCCACAAAAGCCAATGAAATGATTATCTTATGACTTTATGCAAAAATGTTGCAGGCATCTTACTGAATGCTTTTGAAAAGTAATAAAATATTTAAAAGCCATAAATGATTTGTTTGTCCAGCTGCTGAATTATATATGGAAAGAGTTGACCTAGTGTTCCATTACTTCTATCAGATTTGCCATCATGATTTGTTGGCCAGCTTTGATAGGATCTAGCTAAATGCAATTCCAGACTGCAATGTTATCCGGTACTGACAGTGCGAAAGTGTTTCTAGGGATCTTAGCCTCTAAATATGAATGTATTCCTTTGTTCCTGGTTATTTTAATAAAAATTAGAAATTGCTTCTCTATCCGAAAGGCATTAAAATAACATGAAAATAATAATAAGTTTTTTTTAATGCAACACAACACTATCATTA